TTATTAACATTATCATAGCAAAGGCAAATTCTATTGCCCGCTATATCCCCAGTTAAATAACAAAGATTGCATACAAAATACTAGCTATTCAATGTTTCCTTCTTGAAACCATATCATTTGAGGATTTCAGTGTTTGGTGTATCTATGTTAACCCCATAAAACCAGGCTATACCTTTGATCCGACAACCCCATTTATTCCAATCGTCTGCTGAAGCTACATAGTGGAGAAGAATGCTGCCAAAATGATGATTGCATCGCATACTATTCTAGGATTCAGCTGCTTCAATGGAAAAAGCTTGACTGTATGGGCGATTAATTAATTGGAAAAAGAAAAGGAAGTAACCACATATGGTTAAATTGATACAAGGAATCATGTAAGCATGACACTGCAATGCGTTTAATTCAATCTTTTATTCTTCCCTCTTTTGTTATTTATTTCTAAATGAAGACTAATCATATTTTGCCTCCGCGGGTTAGTATAACATGCTGATGCCTTAGGTAATCCTATCATGGAGCAAAAGTTATTGCTTTAAGCAAACCATTACATGCATAGACTTCCTACATAGTGTTAACTCTCATATTTATCTGCAGGTACTCGCAAAGACAACTATCATTTCACAACAGAAGCCATAATCCTAAAGTTTGACGATTGTTGATTGCATGTAAACTATTTACTTGGATGCCGTCCATAAATGCTTTTGGAAGATAAAAGAAATAATAAAACGTTACCATGCTGCAAGTACTATATGTCACCAAAAACTATTCCTAAAACAGACATATGCAAGTACTTCACACGAAAGAATCCTGCAAAGGAACATGGGAAAAAAACAAGAGAGAAGATATAGATGCAGAAAATTGTTGATGAAAACTCATCATCACACCCAAACCTAGTCCCCCCCCCCCAGGGCTCTTCTTCTCTTCAACCCTCACTGCTACATCATCAAATCACCCTTGGTACACCATAAAATCAGTAAAATCAATTCTGCAAATGACTAATTTTCACCAAATTAAAGCAAAAACAACACCCATTTATCAGAGACAGTAAAACAAGCAACGCGTAACTTTTACAAGAGTAGGGTTACAATTTAACTGACAAATGAAACCAGATTCTGCAAGATTCAGATGACAGCTAACTCCAATCCTGGGTACTGAATATGATCGCATGCGCAGTAATAAAAGAAACAAAGAGAAAATATAGAGAAAGGGTTTTTTTGAAGAACCATACAGGCCTACGCTAGCTACTAGTAGGCACTTGGTTAACGTGAATGGTCCCATGCTATTCATAGTTTTGCCGTTAAACCCGAACAGTAATCAGGCGTACCTCAACAGTCAATAGCATCAAACGTCACGCTTTGAAGCTATTAGTTTTATTAAAGCCATAAATTAAACATATCTAGAATATTAAAAGAAAGAAAAAAACAAACAAAAACAGTCCGTCAGATATAGACCATAAACTCAGAGTAGGGTATCTCCGCTGTCGTCGGAATCAACTAATCCCAGAGATGGAGGAAAGACAAGAGAGGAGTGTTGACTGTTGAGAGCATGGAACAAAACAGGCCGATAAGTGACCAAAAGGAAATTAAGATCAAATTCCGGCACCGGAAACTGACAGAAAGAGTCGTGAGCACGCAAAAGCAAAAGTATATCCTTATACAATTCCCTCTGTGTGCTCACTCTCTTCTGTCAATTTCTACGTCCCACAAATGAAGAAACAAAGCAAACAACACAGAAATTTACCAAAACGAAGAAACAAGACTGTTTCATAATACATGAACCCAAAGACAAAGGATAACTTAAAGGAATGAAGTCAGATCTGAAAACTAAACAAACTAAACCCGTTTAAAGGAAAAATGAACTAAAAGTAAGACCAGGACCTTGAATCCAAGATCCTTGACGTTTTCAGTAATGTGTGGCCTTCAAAAGATTTTAGGGTTTCTTGTTCATACCAAAGTAAAAAAAACAAACAAAAAAACCCAGTAAAAAACACCCCATCCCCAACCTTTTAGGAAAGGAAGGAAGAAGAGGAACGATAAGAAGATTGACAAGAAGAAACCCTTCTATCTTCCCCCGTTATAACTTCATCGTTATATAGGATGGATAACATGTCTTTTCTCATCAAGAATATGAATTATTATCAGGTAGCGGAAAGTAAAGATGTCACGAGAAGGACTAAAACGATGTCGACGAGGTGTGATTTGTGTCTTGAGATATATTTAACAAGAAAATTAACATTATCCTTATATTTGTTTTATGTAATATCTCACCATAATCTTTAAATTATATCATAATTGTTTTTTAGGTCATAATTAGTGAATAATGCAGAGTGTGAATGTCGTTTAACTATTAGAACAATGGGGCAATCAAAAAATCTTATTTAGATAATTGATTTTAATTTATATTCTCATATTTCTTATTATTAGTTGATAATATATTATAACGATTAATTTTGACTATTATTTTTTTTTATAAATTTTGAATATAACTGTAATTATGAAATGTGAATACACTTATAACACTCTAAAAGATGTCCATTTTAGTATATATTATTATGATTGGTCCAATTTTTTGTTTGGTCCATTTACAAATTAGGCGATATTTTTTACTGTAAATAATAAATATGATTTTGTTGAAAGTTGTCTTAAACTTTTCTTTTAAATTAGGGTAAATTATACAATTAGTACTAAATTTATTTTTCATTAATTATAATATTAAATTTTGAGTATGAGTTTAATTAGGACACCTGATTGTTAAATTGTCAATAACGTGATGAGGTGATTATTTTTTTCTTATGTTTCTATAAAAAAACGTCAACTCATTTAACCACTATTGTTGGTTAATCATTGCCCGTCACCGTTATATTTAACGATAGTATTGATATAAAAACTCTCATATTTCATTCTTTTTTCTTTTTCTCGAATTGATTTCTTACGAAACTCACTCAAATTCGATAAAAAATCTATCTAAATGTTTGATGTTCTAATACTTTCATCTCCTTCAACGATCATCTAATGATACTAGTTTTAAGGTATATTATTCGTCTTTCTTCAAAGAATATTTTTACTGCTTATATCTTCCAACAAAACGCTCTAAGCGGGTTTTTACCGCATGAAAAAGGATAGTAATTGTCTTATATTTGAATCTAATATCAATTAACAATTTGATAATAATCGAAGTTCTTTACCTGCTTAATCAACACGAAATCAACCATCATATGGTCTATATTTATAAATTATTATTAGTTGATGGAGAGTAGAGGTAGAAGTAGAAGAAACTTGTAGATAGCAGAGAAAGCGACAAGAGAGTTATGTTATGTGGGTCCATGTGGGTTGATGGAAACCAATCAGATCACCAACGTAGGATGGGAAGGACAAGTTCTGTTTTCTCGGTATATATACTATACTGCATTCCTCTAAGTATCTCATATTATTTATGTATGCTGCTTTCATCTTCATCTCTCATCTACCTGTTTGGAGCTGAGGTCAGAATTGCACAATTTCCACGAAGGACCAATCAATTTCTGCCTCTCCATATTATAGCTAAGGATAGATATCAGACTAATCGTATTTTTAAAAATATTAAATCTATAAAAAATGAAGGATTAATCACTAAAATCGTTTTAATTGATAATTAAAAACTATAAAAATTAATTAATTTAGAGGTAATGTACATAACGGTGGAAAAGCTTGTAGTATTTTATTTTATGGGAAGCAGAGACCACGCCCTTAAAGCCCCTCCAAAAGTCCCACACAAATATATATATATATATACATATATAAGTTTTGATGATTTAAATACTTGAAAGGTTACAACTTTAGGGATAGACGATGGACCACCCATTCTTCCCAAGTCCAACCCTCTACCATTACTCCATTTTAATTAACTTTTCTGTCCTCTCCCACTTGTTCCCAGTTTCATCCCCATTTTCAAAATATTCACCCCAAAATATCCTTAATTAATTACAGATCGTCTTGCTCGGCTGTAACATTTTCAAAAAAAAAAAAAAAAACTCAAACAGTTTAAATACAATTGCTTTTAATAAAAAAAGTTTATAAATAATTTATTTATTATAATTTGTATAAAAATAACAGGAAAAAACACATTGTCCCCTTCTACATCTTAATAATTTCATAGTTAGGATAATAAAAAATAACAACATTTTATTAGAGGTGTATTTTTCCAATAAATTATATTAAAATTTTATGAATATAAAATTAAAAATAAATTAGATAAAGTTAAAATTTTATAGAATAACATTTATGAGAATAGCATTTATATAATACCCGTCGACATAATTTTAACACAACATCAAACTTTCAATTGATTCCGACTCGAGTTTAATAGTTAAGGCAAAATTAGTACTACGTTTCTGTTTGTTTTTGGGAAATAGTAGTATTACTACGTATCTATAATCATATATTTACCTCAAGAAACATAGGGGAAATCTGAAAAGAAAAAAAAAAGTCTAATTAAGTGATTTGTATTGCAGTAGTGTCATGCAAGGGCGGCTGTAGACTCGGAAAGACTGTCGGTGTTTTGGCCTATGGACTATGTTGTAAGATAACAACGTTTTTGATCCATAAGTCCATCTTTGAGAAGTGCGGCTTTATTTGTTATTACATTGCTATCAATCCTGTTTCGCTGCTTCAATCTCATTTACTAAACCAGGCTTTACCTTTTTTGTATCCTTACAACTCTTGAGCTCCTTCCTTGCTTAACCGTCAACCAATATATAACACATTCTAAAAGAGGGTTAAATTGTTATAACTTACAAAGTGAGTTGCATTAGCCACACCAAGAGCGTCGATCCAATCTCTCACCCCAATGCCAGAAAGAATTCTAGCGTATATACATGGAACATTAAAAAGCATGTAACTTTGCTACCAACCAAATAATTATGCAATCATTTTAGTTTAAAAAGAAAGAAAAAGGTTGTTGGGGGGGGGGGTTGTGTGTGTGGTTTGGGGGTTGAATAGATGACACAAGACCACTGCCTCCACAAGTTTCTTGAATCTATTACGTTAATCTATAGAAGCAACTCTTTGGTACAAGACAAAAAAGCTAATCCAATGTAATCCTAAAGCGTGCATCAATAAGAGAAAACACAAACCCTACAAACACTACCTATGAATATTTGCTACCCACAAACCTAACTCCGTGATATACCAATTGCATGGCCCGGCACCCGTATATCTAAGACTGCCAGCAATAATACAGGGGTTCAGCCAAGTTCCACTTTGGACAAGAACCAACCCTTGGCAATGACAATGCAGTTTTAATCCTATTTTAGCTCATCTTCGCTGCTTTTTTCCAGACCTTGAATCACTTCCCAGTGTCTTCGACAAACTAGATGCTTTCCGCTTCGCGCTTCCCACAACCTTTTCTGAATCAGTTGAGTTCTCTTTTGTGACTTCACTGTCTTTCACCTTTGATGAATCGGATTTTGACTTACCAGTGCCATGAGCATTGGATTTGCCACCACTTTTAAGAGGCTTGCCCTTAGAAAGGGGGGAACCTTTTGGGGTTTCCTGCTTGGACTTGGCTGTCTTCGAAGAGTCTTGTAACTTTGTGGAAGCTTTCGGTGTTGCACTTCCATCATCCTTGGATTTTGGTGTATCACAACAGTCATCATTCTTGGACTTGTTACTTACTTTTGAAGCGATGTCAACTGATTTACCACCAGTTTTAGGGGTATGATCCTTGGATTTAGCAACACTGTCCTTGTCTGATTTACCGACACTCTTAGAGCCACCTTTGGATTTGACATCCATTTTAACATCATCCTTTGTTTTGCGACCAGACTTTGTGGCCGCACCCTTGGATTTCCCGGTCCGAGTTCCTCCACCCCTGACCATCCAATAATGGGATTTTCAGAAATCAAATAAAGAAACATATCAAGGGTTCCATTTGAAAGAATCTAGTCACCTTCTTAGCGTAGCACCCATCTTAGCTTTCTTGCTAGAGAGATCAGATGTTTTTTCTCTCTTCTTTTGAGGCCTGATATATGGAAAATGAGCAAAGGGGATATGAAGATAAGCCCAGACCAACTGTGAGACAGTAATGAATCAAATTCCCAAGAAAACAACAGGCAAATGCAAAGCCATACCAATTTTAATACCTAAACCTGAAGCGAACTCCATCATTCAGATAAAATTAACATTGCTACAGAATGGAAGAAGTGTCAACTTAAACTACAGAAACCAAGCGAAGTTCATCGCGCAAGGCCAAAATACACAAGAACTTTCCAGAACAAAGATGGTGCAATCAAATTTAACATTCAAGAAATATAAAAGGACACATACATGTCAGATGAACCATCAGGACTTGAATGATTAGCTGCTCCTTCCTGTTTCAGTGAAGTATATTAGCAAATCTAGAACATGAACAAATAAAAGTTAATTACCTATAAATTAAAGTGCTCACCTCATCGGACCCAGACTCATCTTCAATCACCGCCCACTTTTCTCTCTTAAGATTTAAAATTTCTTGATCACCATCATTATAGTGCACCTACAAACAAACGAAAAATGAAGAAAACAAATCTAAGCATTCTAGCACGAGTAGTCAGGGGGAAAACCCTAGTAACATACGGAGGAAAAACGTTAAAGGAAACTTCTATTTGTTTGAAGTGTCACCTTGTGCTTCTGTTTAGAGGGATCAAATGAATAGATAAAACCTTCATAGAACCTGCAAAACAATATCATCAATGATGTCACCCAACACGACATCATTCCAAATAATTAAGTAATTTATTCTCAATAGTAGAAGTTATTTATTTATTTCTGATCTCTGTCTACTATAAAAAATTTAGGAGATGAGAGTAAAAAAGGTGAGATAATTGGGCACCAAATAATGGTTTTTGTATTATCTTTGTTCTTTCGATCTTTTTAGGTGTTGCAATTCAAGAGTTTGTTCTGTAGGATTGGAAAACCACCAGCATTGCTAAGTTTTTTGGTTTCATCATCGGTCCTAATCATTTCATATTCAAACCTCCTTTTTATACAATCAGATCTTACATTTGCACACATGCCATGTTTGGCAGGGAACACATTATATATGTCATTTTCACCTTGGAGAAAATCATAGACTGAGCGTGAGAACAAGGTAAAAAGGATTATAACATGATACTAAGCTTCAAGGCCAGAAAGAAACTCTGATTCAATGACCTTAAAAGTTGAGACAAACTATTATGCAGAAAGACGGACAAACGGATGGACAGACAGGGTGGGAGCCACATATATAAGCACATTCACGTTAGATACATGCTCACACAAGAATTCACTTCAAAAAACAAAATAAAAAACAAATAAAATTCATGGTGTCTATTTCAGAGTATCATTTCTGCGACAATTGTAAAATATATATACTTACTCACGGTCTTTGGGCCACCAGACCTTCACCTTCAAGCCAACGAGATTCTCACCATACTCCATAGAATCAGAAGCCTGAAAATGAATCAACATAAAAATGAAGTCAATTGTCTCCAGAATGACGTGCAATACCATTCATTGCTTCAACTATGTTCAGATTGCAGCATTTAAGAACGGAGTTTAATACAGGGTTACTTACAATAGAACTATTTGGGCCTATATAATCCAATTTTTTTATATTGCAGACAAAACAGAGAGTTGAATAAAAGGTTTAATGTGCAATAGTTGTGCAGCAGAGCATTGGTTTGATGGATTTTCTAGGAACCTACAATACAACACTAATAAAATTTGATCTTTATAGATGCAAAAAGAAATTACTTTTTTTTTTACTTGGGGTACTCTTTCTCTTGGAATTTGTCTTAGGGGTCTCCTTAATGTGAGAATCATGTTTGTTTGGCTTCACTAACTTTGGCGATCCAATCACTTCCTAAATCAATAATAAGCAAGAATGATTCCTTGGTTGAAGAATATAGAACAGCTAAACAAATAAATCATAAAGCTTTAAAAAGAACACCATCACCACAATAGTAAAATTACAAGTTTAAAGCCAAAAAGGAAGTACCTCGTTGTCTTTCTTGATTAAGGTTTTCGTTCTATCCTTCTCAGGAACTTTTCCCCAGCCTCTCCTTTTCTTATCAGACAGTTGTCTCGAAGTGGATTCATCTGCATTGTTTCCGCTAGAATCTACCTTCTTTGATGATTTTTCAGTGATTTGCCTCTGAATCACTTGCAGTGCACTCTCTTTCTTAGTTTGATCAGCCGCATTGTTACCGCTAGAGTCTACCTTCTTTGATGACTTCTTCAGCGATTTTGCCTCGGAATCACTTGCAGTGTCACTTTCTTTCTTAGTTTCATCTACATCAACTGGAGCATTATCCTCACTGGAAACTACAGCAGCAACCTCTTTCCCTGAACGTCTGTTTGTTTTTGCTTCAGAATCACTTGTTGCTTTAGAAACATCATCAACAGAGGATGTGGTTTCCTTGCTCGCGCCGTCTTTCCTTTTTGGCCTCGCTGCCCTTGTGGAATGACTATCAGTCCCACTTGGTGTTGGGGAAGCAACATCATTAAATTCTTCCTTGGTAGCTTTTTGAGAGGAATGCTGAACATCGGTCTTTCTATTTTCAGAGGATACAGCCCCACCAACAGACAGATGTTGTGAACCAGCGTCATCCTTGCTGTCATTTTTTTGATCTTTTGAGGTCTCAACTGCCTTTTCATCAACATGGGAGCTGTCAGAAGGTTCAGTTAATTTTGAATCAGATTTCCTCTCCTTTTCCTGGGTATTTTGCTCTAACATAGGATCTGAATTGACTACTTCCTCAGCTTTTGATATGTAGGGTTCAGCAACAGGTGATGTTTCATTCTTGGACTTATCAGCAATATGGTCACCCTCTTCCTTCTTTACAGAGTTCAAATCAGCCAACGAATCATCTTCAGCAGTTTGCAAAATGCCATTACAAACAACTGCCTTGGGAGATTTTTCATTTGCAAGATCCACTTTTTCAGTTGAAACTGCCTGTTCAGGAATCTGTTTATCCTCCTGAGAATTTGAAGATTTATAACGACAAATTTTAGGCACTAAACTATCATAAAAGTTCAATGAAACGTTAAAACAAAACAAAGGACTTCACTCCACATGGAAAGAGAAGAATGACAATTGACAATAAATACATGAAATAAAGCATACCTGGGCTGCCTTCTCCAAGGGTGCCTCCACCAGTATGCTCTCGTCATCCTACAGAAAATCAACCCCCAAAAAAGGAACATTAAATAAGCTCTATGTTCACTAAAAAGGGGAAAAAGCATCAATAACATGTCAGCACAAGGCAAAAACTTGTCTTGATTTGAAGGATATTTTAGAAGAAAAAAAAATTAAGACAAAAAACAAAAAGACCACGAACAAAAAGTGAACACACAAAATAAATAGAAAGCATACTAAATGATTAACCAGCGCATATAATCTATCTGCAAATAGTGCTGAGTAGAAATCCATACAAAAACTGCACAAAATGAGTAAATGATTGCCCTCAACCAAAAAGGAATCATGTAATGATGGAATTACAATAAAAAATAGATAATTACCAAATGTTTTCCAGAGGCGGCATCATTCGAGTCCACAACACGAGCTGTCACTTGACATACAGAAGCAACTACACTACTATAATAATCATAAGAAATTCCCAAGTTCTCAACAGCTTGGGTAAGATACGGTCGAAGCTTTGATGCACAGTTCTTGAGCACTTTCTCAGCCAACCTCCGAGCAACAGGAAGAACTTCCTGAGAGGAAATAGAAACCCTAGGTGAATTAAGCAAGATTTCAAAAGTGAAATGAAAGCCACTCATAGGACAACAGACCTCGTTATCTATCTTTACACTAGCTAAGATTGAGGAAAGCAGTTCCATAGGGATGTCTTCACTTTCTTCCAGTACAAGGCTCATAATAGTCACCATTGATGTAAAGACAGCCAGCGGGTGATAATCCCTAAAAACAGAAACAAAAAGAATCATAAGGAAACTAGTGATTTAGAATATATGAAATGTCTCCTTGCTTTGGGTGAATATAGGATGAAGGTTAAAAATCATGTCGAGAACAAACCTATATTAAACATATTTTTTGGAGGGATTGAACTTTAAACCAACCAAGAGGGGGTACCTAGTTAAAGGGAGGTTTAACTGTAGACACTCGAGGGGGCAAAATCTTCATTATTCAAAACCATAGCAGTTTATCAAATTAAACCCACATCTGAAAATTCATAATAGCCATGGTCATTGCTTAACATATGAAGAACTTCCTCAAAGGCACAGATTTATCCATGAGAGACCAAGACAAAGAACCAGAGGCGTTTTCTTTTAGTTTTTTTTTTTTGGAAGTGTTGGTTTTTATTTTGTTATGTTCTTTTGCAACTTGAGGTGTATTTTAGAAATCGGGTTACTATCTTTGGGGCTTTTTGTTTGACGATGGGAGATTTTTAGGTGACATGGTTTTTTTGTAATGGTATATATTCCCGTATGAGGGTATTCGGTGATTTCACTTGTACTTGATGTTCTAATTAATAAATTATGAGGCACTCTTTTCTTCCTTCCAATGTTCTTCAACATACTTCTAAGTATGTGGAAGAATACGAAGGGAGTTTTTAATGAGACCTCCAACTTTTATAATAAAAAAAAGACAGAACTGAGAAGAAAATTTTAAAAAGTAATAATCTTGAAAAAAGAAAACTAATTGTAAACTTATAAATCACACATTAGCTAGCAGGAAAGAGATGAAGAGTGACAGATGAAAAAAAATCTCAACTAGAGAATGAACTCTCCAATCAATAAGTTAGTTTTTTACCTTATTGCCTTAAGGAAATGCTGGAACATCTCAACAATAAGATCATCACATTCAAGATCCAACATCACCACACATGATCTGACTTTGGCAACAATTTCAAGAATTGAGGTCCTCTTAATGTACGAGCGGCTGCACTTGTCAGATAAATTCTCAAAGGATGACACAATCAGTTGAAAAACCTCCTGCATACACATTAATGGCAATCAATATTTCAAACGCGGAAAATGATTTTAAAATGATTGTGGTCTGCATAAACATCCCAAAACAATGAATTCAGAGTACCCTCATTTGGTCATCATCGAAAGGAGCATCAGGTGCAGTTATCCTTGTTATCTCGCTGATGCAAGCGGCAACTGCAACTTTGACATCAACATCAGGATGTCTGAACAGGTGCTCTGCAACCAATGCTTTAAGTGACGGAGACAGTGCATTTTGCATTGATTGGCTTGGTGATTGTTCCACCCTTGAAAGACAACTTTCAACTTGCTATATTCACACAGGATAGAAAGGAATAAACAACCCTTTTCAACTATAGAGCAATAACGCTCTACAAAAAGAAAACAAACATGGGCAACTGTAAGGGCAAGCTGGCAGTGATCAAAAGCAACAAAAAGCATATTCACTAGGAAATAAGGGGACCAAAACCGAAAATTACTTCAAAATTAACCATAAATAAAAGACTGCAGCAAACACTCATCTTGAAATCACACTGCAATTCCGTAAATTGCTAAATTCCTAGGTTCATTCTACAATGGAACTATATAAGGTTTTAATGCAGCCATCTATCCATGAACTAGTTGTAAAACCCTATGAAACACAGATGGTTTGAAGGATACATTGATTCCAAACAAACAATATACTAAAGGAAAATGGATTGTGGCCCCAGTATCACTTTTTTTGCACATCCACTTCAAAGTTCTCTTGCTAGACATCATGAGTACGCATTACTTCTTAACTCTCAAGTTTCAACATCATCACATGTCAGTCAGAAAAAAATTCTATCAAAAAATAATTGCCAAACATAGCTGGTGCTTGATTATTCGAAAAAAGAGAAGAATTAAGGACATATTTATTATATCCATATCCTTGGGTTTCATAAACTTAAATCTTGACATGGTATTTGCTTTAGGAGAAAAAAAATCTCATGCTTTCGCATGCACAATCACTTAAATACTGCTTGCCCACAGTTTTGAATTCGAAAGAAATTCAAAATTTAAAACCATTTCATCCATATATTATCTACAGCGTATCATTTGCATACAATAGATTATAGAATTTAAAGTCTAGTAAAGCAATTAAGCTAAAAGTTACAATAGTTAAGAGTGTTAAACAATATCCATTAGAAGAAAACACTTTTAAACTGATTTAATCTTGTAGCAGTGAGAGCGGTAGCAGAATTGAGCGATTAAGCACGTCAAAACCGTGCAACAGAATAAAACCCTAAGAACAAAGTTAAAAAGAGATCAAGATTGGGGGGATCCAACAAACTTAAGAGCATATAAAGAACGGCAAATAATAATTAGAAAACGCACACCTAACAAAAGCAAATAAAAAAATAACGAAGAACAAAACGGAATTAAGGAAAAATTGAAAGAAAAAAAGGGGATAGGGATTACGTCAAGGAGAGGAATGAGCTCATCAACTGATGGAGGAGGTTCAACGAGCCTGTTTCCAGCCTCCATTAACTGTAGCTCCAGCTCTTTTTCAGATACCGCCATATCTTTTTTCCTCTCTATAGAAAATATATATGACCCAAAATATACAGAAACAGATCCTTTAAATCTGAGCCTGAGGTCCTGATTTCACACCATTGGAAACCTAGAAATGCGAAAAGCCATAAAAAGTAAAACGAAAAGGTCGAATCAGCGAGGGACAGAGAGATAGAGATAAGAGGATTTACTCAAGAGGAAGTTAGGGTTTTCGGGTTTTTTCCCGGAGCGATAAAGAAAGTTGATGGGGTGAGGTTTTTTTTTTTTCCTTCTTTTTGTTGTTATTTTGTTGGCTTTGGTTAATTTAATTGAGAAAATTGCTGAGAAGGAATAATGTAAATTTAATTATATACTTTTTAGTCCTTTTTTTTCTCCTTCGATAGATTTTTGTGTATTTTTTGTGCGCTTTAGAGGAGATTCCAGCACCGCTATGCTCGGATTCCGCCGTGCACATGAATTGGAGTTAAATTAAGTACTTTGACTTTGTGGACGTGGGGACGACGCGGAGCTTTTTGAGCCGCTTGATTATATTGTTGCCTTATTTGCTTTGCCCATTTTATCCTAAAATTACATTTCTGCCAAAAATGTTATTTACAATATACAAAGAAGGGGAAAAGTACTAAAAATTTCTTTGATTTTTATTTATGGAAATATTTTAATATATGGACAGCCATTCACTTTTCTCCTTTCCAAATTCATTCTTGAATGACTAAATTTAAAATATTATTGATTAAACATTTTATATTTATTATCTTAATGCATTTTTATAAAATACTATTTTAATAAATTTAGGTACCAATATAAAAAAGTGTGAAAATTTGAACAAATTTAAGAGTTAAAATGTGATTTATATCTTTTTTAAATTACTTTCATATATTTTATATTTAATATATTTTCTGAGTTTTCAAATATACTTCTGTTTTTTTTCAACATGACATAATATAAAATAGTATCCCATCAATATTTTTTCTTGTCAGCAATGACATGTCATAATTTTGTCTCGTGCAACATCAATAAAGATGTTGGCAGTTAAAAGAAGTTATTTGAATAAAATTAAAACATTGTGATTGGCATTATAAGAAAAGTTCATGATACAATTGAAAAACACAGCCCGACATTGAGAGAGAATTTTATTGTTATGTCTCAAATTTATTGATGTTTAACTATAATATTATAGATTATAATTAGATAAACTACAATTTAATATGTAAACTATTTTTTATTCGTTTTGGTATCTAAATTTTAATTTGTTTTTAATTTATACCTAACGTCTAGTTTAAATTTTATTTTTATATTCCATCGTAAAAAAATTAACCGAATTATCGTATGTGATATTTTTTTATGGATATATTATATCATTCATCATTCAACTACCTTCTCATTCTTATTTTAGATATTAAAGTTTAAAAATTTTCATTTAACTACTCAACTTTCAAATTGCTCATGTATTCATCCTCTAATTTATTTTATTAATAATTTTTAGACATGATATTTTTATTATTATTTTATTAATATATAAGTAAAAAACTTAAAGTTAGAGTGAATAAATCAAGAGTAATTTAAAAGTTAAGTAATTAAAATTTAAAAATAAAACTTCAATGATTAAAATAGGAATGATAAGATAGTGACTGATGAATGATATAATTTACCCATAAAAGTGCACGAGCGACAGTGCCATAGTACAAAACAAAACAAAAAATAAACATTATGTATGATTTTGAAGAAAAAAAATGAAAATTTAGATATCAAAACTTGATACTATTAGTAAAACATATTTTCCATGAGCTGTCTTAATCCACAATCACATGTAAGATTTATTTGACTTTTTATAGCTTAAAACTATAAAAGTATTCTTCATAAACATGTACTACCGCTACACATAACATGATGATGGTGAGTGATGACTCATGCAAGTTTGACTCTCTTACGACTCATCAACCCATTGTGTAAGAAGGTGGCAAGTTAATCACGGTGGTCTTGATCTTCGTCATCATATTGATACTGTTAGTGATTCCTTGGGATCCAATGCCACTATCCTTCAGACCCTGCAACAACTCAATGGTTAGCTCAACCATCAGAATGGCAACTACTTTGCGAGTTCACATTGGGGAATGCGGTAATAAACTCACCTGGAACGGGAAATGATCTGGTCCCGAGCTGAGTTAATCTGAACTACCAGTCTCCATGGCATCACTGATCAAGATTGCTTTGTTTATATCTCTTGTAAAGACACAACCCTGCAATTACATATAGTCTTGAAGAACTTGAAGTGGAAGTATATGCATTTGGAATACAGTTAAGAATGATTAAATTGTTGTACTGCAGACCGAAATTGCTAGCGTTACAATGATGAATTCCTTCTTCAACTGAGGTAATTCTTATAACAGGCAAAACGGGACCAAATGGCTCCTCCCAAGCTATTCGCATATCGGGACGAATGCGTCTAATAACAATGGCCATATAAGGTTGCCTCTCTCCTGTACTCTTGGCAAAATGTAGCCCCTTTCTGTTTGGCATCCATTACCAATCTTCAATGAAATTAGCAGAGGATTCTGTGACAACTGGAGTGATGTCACAATCATATTCTGGTGGGCCAACAGTCATTTCGCGACTTTAGCTTTAACTTCTCGACGAGAGCATTAGCCACGGATTCCATGACCAGCACAACCTTCACGGCTGTGCACCTTGACCACTGAAACATGACAAAGGAAGTTTTTTAAACAACAACATCATGCTAATTGCAGCTATTTGACCAGATATAGATAACCTTGACATAAAATCGAAATGAACAGACATCAAACGATTTCTATAACCTGTAAGAAAAGCCTCCTTTCACGATGTTAGAAGCTGCCAAATCCAAATCAGCATCTTCGAGAATGATACAAGCATCCTTTCCACCCAATTCCATCTGAAGAGGGATCATGCCTGCTTTCTTTGAAATTGCATTCCAGTGTCCCCACCAGTGAAGCTGAGTATGTGTGCTGTTAGTAGACAAACCACAAGATAACTCCTGATTCCTATTGTGTGCAGATGCAGCAGAACACCGTGTCGGCAAAAGTATAAGGAGGACATCATATCAAGGAAATTAAGATATTACCTAATACAGTTGACTAGGGGTGCATTGTAAGGAAGTCCCGATCTCCGAACCTTTTCCCGTAACACAACTAATTAGACCTTTGGGAAACCAGCTAAATGAAAGCAGTGCACCATGTGAAGTGCAGCTACAGCACCCTGCAAATTAAGCGAAAACTTGTCCAGTTATGTCCATATAACTAAGAATCATGGTTTATAGTATATGAAACGCATACTTGACTATTCTTTTTGCAACGAAAAAAAGATTTATAACAATCAGCAATGGTTAAATCAAACCTGGGTGGAGGCTTGAGTACAATAGAATTTCCAGCAATAAGTGCAGGAGCAATCTTCGAACAGCGAGATTAACCGGATAGTTGAAAGGTGAATAGCTAAAATGACCCTAGAGGTATCTGCATGTCAAATAGAATGGGATATAGATTTCGAAGTTAGGGTCCTCAAATCAAAATCAAGTAATAAACCGGGCTTCTTGAATACGAGTTATAAGGGAGCATGAGCTTGAGAAGAACACAGAACAGTTCATTTTATGTCTGATGTAATTTAGAACAAATATGGAATTGAAGCTTCAATTCTATTAACGATCATCATCAACATAGAACTGCTCGGAGTAGTCCATATTTAAGACTAATTTCATCACTAACCAGCTTAGACTAACCAGTGTTCACACCATTTAACATAAACAGCAGCAGTGCCGCCTGTCGTCATCGTTCACTTTAGTAATCATCTTAAGGCTAATGCATATGAGGAAACACATAAGAACATCTTAGGTGAAAATGAGCATACAGATAAGAACAAAACATAACAGAATTATATTATGCAAAAAGGACTGCAACACTCAATTTACCCATGCATCTGCTGACATATATACACATGCAAGATATACACATGCAAGTATCAGCTACACTTGTCCAGTATTTGGTCCTTTCATTCCCTGGAAAACTATCAGATACCAAATTTCCCTTCACCAAGTATCCTGACCCCTTCTTCAGCACAGTATGACACCAAATCCCCAGACCTTACAGCCTGTTTAAAATTTAAATTAAATCCCCACAAAAAGTTTCAGCAGACGAAAAAGATGGAAATTGTCTTTAAACTCACTTCAGCCACAGCCCTTTGCCGGTTTTGCAATCTCTTTGACAAGGCAATCTCCAATGGCAACCTTGTGCTCTTTCAAGAGAGCAGCTGCTTTATGAAGCAACTCTGCTCTTTTCCAAAGTGGAGTTTTAGCCCATGACTTTTGAGCAGTTTTAGCTTCATCCATCAACTTGTCTACCTCTTGCTGAGTACACGCTGTTCCAAACAATTAGAAAAAAAAATTAACCAATCAATGATCATGCAGAAAAACCTAATTGAAGGGTTTAAGATATGTAATGATCATACATACGTAGCTTTGAACAAACAAGAAAAAGGAGTGATCATCAGTGAACTAAGAAGAAAATAGTATTACCTTGGACTTTGAAGTGAGGCTGTCTAGTGGTTGGGTTGATGATTGCCACCGACTTTCCTGAAGACGATTTCTTCCACTCCCCATATGAGTAATACTTAAACACACCATCTCCATCGACTAGCTCAGAAACACCGCAGTTCCTGCCATTATTCTTGCTCTAAATCAAGCTCTCTTCTGATCTTTGAAGCAGGAAAACAAAAGGTTAAACAGAGAGATGACTTGTTTCTGGTGTAAACTTGGCAGTTTGATCTGTCTTCAGTTGAAGTCAGCCAGTTTAGGTGGCAAAAAATTGTGCTATTTGGTTCTCTCGACCATTCAACAATTGGGTCAGGAAAATTAAATAAATCGTCATTTTAAGTTTTGATAAATGAATTATTTTTATTTTTTAAATTATAATTAATAATTATTTATTTACATTAAATTTTAATTTTAATTATTTATCTAAAAATTTTGGTGAGTTTAATAAGTCAATAATAAAATATTTTAACAAGCGACTAGTCTGGCAACGAAATTTTTAACAAGCATAAGTCAAGAACTATCCAATCTTTAAACAGATACTACTTATAATTATCATAAATTAATAAAAAAAAAACGCTATATGTTTGTAATAATTAGGCCAGTGATCCATTTGGAATTCGACTATTTTGTTGGAAAGCAAAGCCCAAACTTTTGGTTGGATCCAAAGACCAAACACAAAAACGGCCCGAAGGTATGGTTCACTAAACGTCGGTTCTCGGCAGTTTCCTCGAAGATCCGATTCCACCCAAAAGACAAAATTCTCAAGTCAAGTCTGGGTTAATTTAAAACAAAAAAATTCCACCCAACTAAAACCATCCACATCATCATTTCTCCACATGTCGACTTTCGATTGGATATAATCGTGTCACTCCAACGTGTCAGCCGTCAATGAAATGTTCCCATTCATACTTCTCGAATTCTCTTCCCTCCTCGATCACCCGTTGCGAGCCAGATCCGTTAAAACGCCATTTCGCTAAACAAATCGGTTAATTTTCCGTTAGATCTGCAAGAATATCCTCCACCGTGGCGACATCGGGGTCGCAAGACGTCCGTCGTAGAAAACCGTATCTGTCTCCGTCGTCATCGTCAAGTTCAGGTCCGAACACCGTAGAGCAGAGAGAACATTTTAGAAAGAGTACAAAGGTTGATTATCCATTTTGGCAACAGAATTGGTTCATTGGATTGTTGTTCTTGATGGCGGTGGGGTTCTTTGGTCTTGCTCTCTTCCTCTTCCTCAGTTTCGATTTGGATCAAGGTTCTCCTTCCTCCGCCTCCGCCTCCGCCTCCGCCTCCTCCCCATCCCAGAACGTCGAGGTATTAAACATCTTTTTTCACTTATTTCAAATTTCCTCCTCATTACTTGTTTGATATATTAATTTGACTTAATGAATGGAACAGGTTACTTATGGGACGGTTTTAAAGCTGATGCACGAGAAAACAAAATTTAGGCTTCATTCACACGATGTGCCGTACGGTTCTGGAAGTGGACAGCAATCTGTCACCGGTTTCCTAATGTAGACGACTCCAACAGCTACTGGGTACTCTCTCTTTCTCTTACCTCTTGATCTTCTTAACTAGTTTCTAAATTGAATATGGTTTTGGGAGCGTTTGTTTGTTGTTGCTTTAACTACATTACGCAATCAAATTATTTTTCAATGGTTAAATCTGATGGATCAATGAACTTTTCCAAGCTTATGGTAAACATTTTTCTTTGTGTCAAGATTTGTTAGTTAACCATATGAATGGGATGATATTATGGTACCCTTCTCTTAGAATAATTATTTATATGGTTCAAGAACATGAAATTCTTCCTTTACTATATACGAATTGGTTAGTGCCTTTTCTTTTCCTAATATATTTTCTTTTATGGTGATTGAAATAATTTTGAAAGTTGAACCAGTTTGGCAGAGTTTGTTTTTTAGTACTTTTTACAGCGCTATTCATTTAATAGTGTCATAATAGCATTATTCATCGTCCAAATTCATTTGAGGCTGTGCTTTGCAGATTGTTAGGCCTACACCTGATACATCTGCTAAACAAGGAAACACCATCCCCAACGGGCAATTATTAGATTGCAACATATGAGGACTAGGAAATGGCTGCATAGCCACTTGCATGCATCACCAATATCAGGAAATCTCGAGGTTAGTTTTTCACAACGTTTCAGCAGCCAATCATAACTTAAATTCTCAAATTTTTTGTCAAATTTAAAGCTAACCTTCATCAATGTTAGAACATCGAGATGCACTTTAGACCCTTTATCTTGATAAAGTTTCCTTTTGAAATTCTCTCTTTTTTCCACTGGGACTTCTGATGATACCCTCTCAATATTGGGTATAGGTCAGCTGCTTCGGAGGAGAATCAGAATCGGATACCGGTGATTATTGGAGGTGAGGCCTAAAATTTTATTTTGTCGAAGTTATGTGTATCTTTCTTGGTTATCTTTTTGCTGGTGCTTCATTATTGAAGGATCCTCTCAGGCTCATAATTGAGGGAAGTGAAAGACTTGGAAGCAAGATCAAAGGATTCGCTTCAACATGTTGACACTGGTGGCTACCTGCTTAGTCACGACAAGAAATACTCCAGAATAGCTGGTGGTCAGCAAGAGGTGAGAATGGAAATATATCATAATTCATAATTAATTTTATATTATTTGGACACTTCTTTATTTTAAATTCCATGGTAAGGAATATGGTCTTCCCTCATGTTTAACTGTACTAATATTCAATACTTGCTTGCTAGCTAATCATTCGGTGTGAAGCCTACTATTATTTTTCTAAACATAAGCCTTAATGGTGAAGGAGCTGGAAATTATATGTACGTCTGACGTTTTTTCTGCCCTTGTTATTAGTTGGTATGTTAACCATTTCCACATAATGTGTAGGTTTGTGGCGTTAGAGAAAAGCGTGCGGATACTGTATGGTTGGCTGCAGAGGGTGTGTACCTCCCCATTACTGAAAGCACATAATATATACATGTTTAAGAGATCACTACTCCGTAAAGCAGGTGCATGGATTTTGCATTCGTTGGTGAGCGATACCTGTTTCTTTAGTAGCTAATAACCCGTTACAGAATCAGTAGTATATTTTGCAGGACAACTTTCTCTGCCGAATACTCTGTTATGCATGTTTATGTACCTTGAGACTGTACTAATCAGATAGAGCCCTTCTAATGATTGATGAATTCCTTTTTTCCCCACTATAAAGCAACATTTTTTTCTCCGTTTATATATATTATTTCTTGTATGAATAAGAAACGATGATAACAAGAATGTGAGGTAGAGATTATATTGTTGTTCGTGAAAGACTTTCAGCGTAGCAAAAAATAATTTAGATGTTTACATGTTTTCACATCTATTATTGACATTTACATTTATAGTTGTAAATACTTTTACGTTTACATTAATAATTTTTTTTGGGTATGATTCATATTTATTTCAAGGTTCATGTTAGGAGTTTGTGACTAATCCTTCTAAAATGTCAGTTTTTATGGTTTAAATCTGGGATTTTTTTAGGAGTGCAATGTATTTTTCCATTAAGGGTTGTTCATTTACATTTGTAACTGATACTCAACATTCATACTAATATATATATATATATATCAATTTAAGGAGAGAAAAAAAGCAATTGGAAATTGTTAATTACCTCTGTCGTCCGCCTATTATTTGCAGTCGAGTGTTTTGCTTTGCTAAAATAGCTTGATCCAACAACACAGTTACATTATATGTAGATTCAAACATATTCTAAAAGGCGACTATTTGCTAAACCATACTAGAAAAACAGCGTATATTCAACCTTAAGTTAGGGTCAGTCAACGAACTCTTCAGATTTTCAACTACTTCATGATATTTCTGCGGAGATTCGCAAGGGATGTGCTTTGTCTTCGTTATAAATTAAGAATGTTTCGATCAGATTTTGATTGCTATCATTGTTATAACAAATCAGTACAGGCCTTCGACTTGAGATAGCTGATTCAACGCATTGCGGTTTTGATGCATCATAGCATGTGGAAGAAAAATTTTCTTTCGAACATAATTGGGACAAAGAAATTCATGAGTTAGAAGCATCTTTGCAGTCCATCGTTGATTGGGATCCATAGCGAAGCATCTCTTCAAAAAATCTTTCCGGACTTGGACATTTGTGGGGGGATCATATCGGTTGTTTCCATTGATGGAGGTGTTCCGTTCTTCATCTCGACAATGGTACATCCCAGCGACCATATATCCATTGCAGCACTGATTTGTCCATAATAAAAAGTTTCCGGTGACATAACCAAAGTACCTCGATGATAAGGTGATACTATGCATCCTCGTCTCTTCTCCAGGTTCTTCGGCCAACCCAAAATCAGCGATCTTCAAAGTACTAAGAGAAGCCGGTTGATTGGAACGAGAAACCAAAATATTCTGCGGTTTGATACAATGAATGTAACCCTTTTCATGAATAACGCAAAGCCCTTGAACAATCATCCTAGTGTGTATCACATCAGATTCTGGAATTTCCCCACCGTACGTGTTGATCAAATTCAAAAGATTGCCTCCAGCGGCGTATTCGAGAAGCAGGTTATGATTTGTTACACCGTCTTCAATAGTTATGCTTTCACCGTAGCATTGAACGATATTAGGTGAATTAAGAAAGTGGCGAAGAACCCTATATTCCTTCTGAAGGAAAGGGCTGGGCGATTCACAATATTTGACGGCAACTGATCGGGGGACTGGCTTTGTTACGGTTGCTAAATACACATCTCCACATCCCCGGAGCCAAGTCTCTTCCACTTCACCCATTCCGAGAGTTGACCGGTTCTGAATGACATCCCTTTTACTACAACTAAATCCCAAGCCATAATCTTCTGAAGGAGCCAAACACAAGCGATTAAAAGCGAAAAGAAAAGACGCTCTCTTTAAACTTCACGGAAGGAATTTATAGGTTTTGCAAATCCCATTCGTCTTTATATTGGACCTATCGGAGGGGGTGCTGAGCTCTCCATGTAAAACAAGGACTAAGAAACTACGTTCGTCTTTATGTTTGACTTGGAGGGCACGAAACAAATTTTCTCTCTCTATTTTTTTTTTTTTTGCTAGATCGTGTTTCTGAAGTAATTGATTTTTGTAATTTTAAAAGTCATTTTTGATACTATATGTTTAAAGTTTTTCTTAATTATTTATAATGTATACATCTTGTAAGGTAGTAGTTCGAACTCAAAACCTCTAGAGATGACAACATTTTCTTTGATCATTAAGATCACTTGATGGGTTGAAAGTTTTTATATCTATACAAGTTATCTTAATTTATAATTTTAAAGAATCTAATTAATAAATTTAACTTAACTTGGTAATGGTAAATGGAGCATATAATCTTTATCCAATTTTAAGAAATAAGATCACGTATGATCAGTGATGAAAATCATCTTTATTTATTAGGATTTTTTTAAAAGTTTAAATTTATTAGAGAATTATTTTTAAAAAAAAAAGTAAATTTATAAGAATAATATATATATTAAGAAATTATAATATTTCTTCTTAAAAAGATAAACATGACTTCAATCCCTTTATAATTTCACCTCTGAATATAATTATTAAATTCAAAGAATTTCTCTTCAATTACACTTCTTAAAAGAATCAAACTCTAATGTTTTTTCGCTCTATACAAATCATTTTGAGTTATCGACTATAATAAGACTTATGTTACGTTACAAATTCTTTATTCGCATTTCTATTTAAATAATTGAACTTCACAGAATTAAACTTTCTCAAAAATTACTTAAAAGTGTTGCGCGTATATAAAGGTGTATCCACACTAAAATTATATACAAATAATAGTCTTAATTTCACTCCGTTAGAAGATTATATTCTTTGAGACTGAAGTTGTTAATAGTTTATCGATTGTGAAAAATTAATTTTCTTGATATCCTTTATACAATTAAAAAATTAACTTATACAATATGAATAATTATTCAGAATTATTGTCCTACATTGTTGAAAGTATAAAGTAATTGAATTTGTATTTAATATATTGAATGTTCGCATGATTTTTTTGTTTTTTTTTGCGACTTCGATAGTTAAGGAATTGATATTATTTTTGAGGTCTCGGGTTTGAGCACCACATATGTAGGGGTGTATGAGCGTTCAATGTCAAATGGTTGAGAATCTTTAAACAAATATTACCTTGTGTTTTTTTCTAAACTAATAAAAAAATATGTATATATTGAGTGTATAAATTTATATATATTATTTAATTGTATTCAAATGTGCTATTAAATTAGTAAATAAATCTAAAAACCATTAAAAATATATAATGTTATTATAATTTTTAACAAACAATATATCATAGTTTACTAAATTATATATTTATTGTTGGACGTAGGTTTTATCTTTGTCATAATATTAGAGAAGATGATGGCTGATGTGAGTTATAATTCACTCTTTTTCATTTAGACTAAGAGTTGTAAGTCAACATGATCGTTAATACTTAAAGTGGTCGAACACAATTTTGATGTCGGAATCTCCCTGTGCCCTTCCCTCTTTTCTCTCTATGTCAACCATTGGATTTGTGTCTTTTACTCTAATTGTGACTACCACCTTAACCCACAACTCTTTATCTAAGTAAGAGAGTGAACATTAACCAACACTGATCACTATACTTCTAATGTTATGACTTTGATATTTTAATGCGATAAGCATGAAATTTTGAGCGATAATTAAAGCCAATGAACGAGGAGAAATTTTTTAAAGAATTATCTAAGGAGAAGATGAGTGTTCGATTCTCTTCCTCTTTTATATTCTTGTTTTCAATAAGGTATAATGATTAAATTAATATGCAACAATGGTACAAATGATTATTTTGTTTCATATTCTTTTTTTAGCATTTAATCTTTAACCTTTCAGATTTTGATCAAAATAGTCTCTATTAGATGAAAATAGTCAATTGACTAACGATCAATGCATATTACTGACATGGTATTTTCACACGTGTTTAATTAATGATGTGACATACACTACATCATCTAAAATAATGACGTGATATATTATGTCATTCTAAAATGATGTGACACATAACACGTCATTAAAATTGATGATGTGACATATATCATATCATATAAAATGATAACATGTCATGTGTTATATCATCTCTTAAGAATGACATGATATATATCACGTCATTCAAAGAGATAATATAATAGAATTATATTTGTATATTATCAAATGAATAATATGACATGTATAACATCACGTAAATTAATAATGTGATAAATGCGATGTCATTTTAAAATATTTATTAACAAGCATTTTTATTTTATTATGCGTAGAGACTATTTCATCGTATTATATTTTGTTGGAAATACATCTCTTAAAAATGGTGTAACATATTTGATTGTTCTATACATAATATTTTTCATACTCAACGGTTGTGTTGCTTTGTATGCGTCTGTGAATAGACGGATAATTAATGTAATAGATGAGATGAATTGAATTTGAGTATTGTTTAACTCGATTCAATTTGAAAATTTTAAAATTATTGACTCGACTAGAGTTCAAAAAAATTTGAACTCAAAATATACTAAGACTTACCTCAGTTGAAGCTCAAGCTCAAACATAAACCTTAATAGATGAAAACCTTATATTACATTTTATTTTTAAAAAAATATCATATAAATGTTAACAATATTAATAATTTAATTTAAGAAATTTAATTTTTATTTATTTTTTTCTTGTTGTTTGCAAGTTTTATGAATCGGATATCAAGTAACTCGTTTTGACTCGTTAAGAACTTGAGTCGAATTCAAACTCAGTCTGAACCCATTCAAATCGAATATTAATTAAACTTTAATTAAATTAAACTAGAATAATTTACGACTTATCTCGTTTCATTTATACTCATGTTAATATGGAGGAGAGAGTGGTCCATTTGGAATTATGAAAACCTGTAATACGGTATCCTTCATGTCTACCTCCTTGTTTTATATACTGAAAGAGGATATGTTGTGATTTAATTATTTTTTATAAATATTAAATTATTACTTAAATGTTTAAATAAAAATTATATTTTCAAATTATGTTTATATAAATATTTAATATTTTAAAATAGTTAGAGCGACTATTTTCTATATTTAGTCAAATATTCTTTTAAAAATATCAAATAAAGGTTTTGGTTCGTATCTACTTAAATAAAGATCTAAGCTTTCAGAATTTTTGAGATCTAATATTTTTAATCTACTTAAATAAAAAATATAACTACTTTTAATATGTTCAAATGATTTTTTGAACGTGTTTTCAACACGTTAGTCCCTTATTTAATTTTTTCTTCAAAAGGTTGAATTATTATTTAAATATATAAAAAATATTAAACCCCTTTTAATCATTTTGAAATGTCAAAATTATGGTTAATAATTAGGAAAAGAATTAAACCATTATTATTGAAGTAATTAAGCTAAACTTTTACTGGATAAAGCCCATAGAAAACATATTTACTTGCTCCAAATGGTTCGTAGAGCAAAAGATGAACCAATTTGTGGAATTAATTCAGAAGAGAAACAATAAAATGTGAATGGTAAGATTGAGTGGAAAATGATGCATCATAAAATGAATAATTGGGGCATCTCGAAAAGACAGTTTGCCCTTTTACTTTCTTCGTGACCCGTTTGGTAAATACTCTATAGCTTTGTTTTAATGAAAAGATGGCCCATTCCACCGTCTCTATCCCCACCCTTTGGTATCAACAAAATGTATACCATGAATTCCAACTAATCATTGCCTACCAAACCTTTTATTTCTCCTTCCAATCTCATACCTAAACATCGACATTTATTTCTAACGATTCAATATTAATCATGTTAATCTCGTTGGTCATAAATATAGGCTAAAATTTTTGTCACCATGGGCCCTTACTGATTTAATGTCAGATGGCCCAATATGAACTACAAATGGTTACTCAATTTAGGTGCAAAAATGAGAATGGGTGTTACATTTAAAGCAAATTTCGACCCCTAAATTCATATTCATGACAATGTACGTACCTCGTTCAACATCTGCCATAACGCATTCACAAACCATTTTTCCCCCACTGTAAGATTTTCTCGTAACCGAAACAGAAATAAATCTCTGACCACCACCGACGTCATGCTTCTCACGGGGATCACATTGCGCATTTTTTTATTGCTTTTTCTGTTTAAGTACTTGTTTCTGCACCAGCCCATACTTGACTATCTAAAGTAGATACAGTAGGTTTTCTTCCACCGAGTGTTCGGGTAAGAGCCAAGTTAACATAATCTAATACATATTTAATATTAGTAATTGTTGACGATTTTTTTAAGATTGGAACGGTTATTGGTGGGTCATTCTTTCAATTTATGTTAAAAATTATAGTTGATGGTAAAGGATGGATTTTTAGACAATCAAGATTTTATATATACGGGTGTGTGGATAAATACTTCATAGGGATGAGAAAAAAACTCATTATTCTATTGTGTCTAGAGATTTATATTGACCTTGAATGATATTATAAGACTTAAAATTATGATGACTACCCGTAGACTAGTAGGTTGAATTAATAGATTTAAGTGTTTAACATATCACATGAATTTACAAGGGATCATGTTAATAGCAAGTAACCAAAAGGATGATGTGAAGTATTGAAAAATTAGCCACGAGTAATATAGTTGACAATGATGAACCTCCACATTCCTCTTATTATTCCGGAGACTATAACCATCGGAGAAATGAACAAAGATGTAATCACTACTATGATCAAGAAAGGAAATCAGATGCCATTGTTCAAGAGGGAGACAAATTCATGATCTCAAACCAAATAGGAGCTTTTATATCCACTTTCTAGTTAAAAAATTCAAAAGATTGATGCAACACACAAACCAATTGGTTTAATTTTTGTTGTATAATGGATCAAATGGAAAGGAGATGGGTAAGGAGTGGTGCTTTTATATTTTAGATCATCTTTTGAAAGATTTGTTAAATGGAGGGGTCAATGAGCAATTCAACACTAATAAGGCTGTAATAATAATAATCCAGCCAGTAAAGGTGGGGTTCATTAAAGTTGATTATCAGAGATTTATTTCACTGGTTTTTGCTTAGCTGGGTTTGCGTTGTTTATGGCTAACAATTAAATCATACAAAAACAAGGTTGAATTTTCATTTGCAGAGTCCCCACGCACTAAAGAATTCATTAATGGCAAAGATTAGAATAAATACAAAGTATGATAATTAACACTGGTTGAAAAAAAGAAGAGGCAGCCCCACTGGCCGGCTCATGTCCTTTCCATTTTCTCACACAGAACTCAATTATTATTTCTTACAGACAGTCTTATGTTTATGGGAAAAGAAAGAAAGCTGTCAGTTTAGCTGCAGCAGGAAACAACAGATCATACATAATCATTTACGTGTTTGGCTTTATCGTCTATTTACATATGCCTTCACAGCAGCCGCTTCAGGACATTGCTAAGGTAATTAAATGGTGAAGAGTGAGTGCACGGTAAAATTTTTTTTAAAGCTGCAACTCTATCCATGGCCACTGTCTTCTGTACTTGTTATCGGCAAACAATAAGAATACAGTTCCACTAAATTCTGTTACTTTACCATTGTCACTGAACTGAAAATCTGTGATTTCTAAAGATGTTCGTTACAAAAATGACTGCTGTCATTTGTAACCCGTAATGAACATGCAAGCCATTAATCCTCCTCTTGATCTGTGTTTTTGAGAAGTTTAAAAACAGTACAGTAAACAATGTCAACGCAGATGATAAACTATACAAATGTTTAAAATATTGAAGGCAAATAAACCCTGGGTTTATTTTAGAATTTTATGTTTCCACTACCGATGAAATGGTCGGAGTTTGATTTTTTATATATATATTTTTAAAAACAAATGTTACAAAGGGGGAAGAGATTCCCAGATGGAATTGCAAAGAATGGTGTCCTTGATTGTTTCTGTACAAGAGAAAATGACCGACACCTCTTTGCTTCACATGAGCGTGTGATGAAAATTGAGAAAAATAAATAAATGGGGATCAAAGGCGTAGGGCCATGTCTTTAGACAAAACTGTACCTTTGATGAGGGTTGACAGTGACTCCATGGCCTTGATTATAGGGCGGTAGGGACCGAGATGGGCTAAAAACATTAATCAATTTCACAAAATCAACCTTCTGATTTCCTGTTTTGCATGCCATCCCCACTGACAACCAGGAATCACTTGGTGCAGATTTCGTTATTCAGACCATTCAATCACAATTCACAGTTCACACATTGGAGTTATTTTTGAACTCAACTAAATGAAAAGAAAAGGTTTCTTATGACATGATGATGATGGAATATTGACAATGGTGATATCATACATTGACAACAGCTACCCAAATAGAAGGGAAAAAAGCACAAAGGACTGCAAAGCCAAGACTAAAACTAAATGCTATCTTCTTCATTCCCCATTCACGGCAATGGGTGGTAAATGGTATCCATTTCTGGTCAAAAGGGTAAGCTCTTCGAAGTTGAGCTTGCTGTGAGTGACTTCAAATGTTCCGATGGAACAAAAGCTTGTGGCAAATTGGCCCTATTCACAATTCTCCTCATGTTGTTCTGCAAACTCTGTTGGACCAATTGTTTAACAGCTTTCTTCTCCTCGCTCATCATGCCTTCTTCTTCCACCATGCACTCCTTTCTGTTCGGATTAGTCGAAGAAGATGAAGAGCTGCAAATCGGAGCCGATACAGCTGCATTCATGTTCCCACCAAAGTTCTCCAATACTCGCTTACCTTTGTCCACTCTCAAGACCTCCAAAATCCTGGAAGCTCTCTTCTGTGCCAATGTACTACCCAAAAGTGTTAGCTCGAGCAATGACGAAACGATGCCTGCTTCGATCATGGCCTGTCTATCTCCATATGCTTTATGTGCCATTACCATGAGAATATACGATGTCTTCTCTTGGCAACTAGGAGAGTCGGTCCAATTCAACACGTCCACCAAAATGGGGAATGCTTCAGGTGCAATACTAATCCCCTTTCTACCTTCGGGGGTGGACACTATATTGCTCAAAATCGAAAGAATTCTCTCACTAACTTCCATATCCCCCAATGCATTCAGCAGAAAAGGTATCAAATCAGCCTCCACCACGAACGAAATGTTCGATGGGGAGATGGATAGATTATAAAGAGCTCGAAGAGCATCATGTCTGGCTTGAGACCTGCGTTTTGTGTCCAAAAGCTTGAGGGATTTAACCAAGAAAGGTATAGCCCCTGAAGATCCAATGATAGGCTTATTCGAATCCAAGGCGCTCAAGCCAAGGAAATTTGCTACAACGGCATCCGAAATCCCCTCGCTTGGGGATTCAATAAGCTTTAGCATCTTGTGTACAGCCCCTGCTTTGACAATGACAGCTTTGTTCCTGCAATAGGGTTTTATAAAATAATTATAATTTAAGTAACAAAATCAAACAAACAAAGTTGTGCCCAAAAAACGTCAGTTAGAAAGATTAAAGGAAAAGGAAATGAATTAGGTTGAAGACAAATTAAATGCATTATTCTACAAATCCGAATCCGTTTCAAGGAAATAATATGCTATGAAAGCAAAAACATGGAAAAAGACTTGTCCGACCAAATTCCCTTCTATCACTTCAGATATTACCCAACATTGCCAATAAACATAAGAAAAAAAAGATTAAGATTAGTAACATTAGAAAGGGGCTTCTTATTTAACACAGAAAAAGAATTGTTTTTTCTTTTAAGAAAAACGGTAAATTCAGGAAACTTACACGTCATTTCCGATTCCCAGATTAAGCAAAGCATAGAGAGCAGTGATCTGTGAATCAGAATCTTGAAAATCAAGCATTGCAACCAAAGGCGGAATGGTTCCGAGCATGGCCAAAGTCACTCTGGCTTCCGGGTCTTCTTTAGTATGAGACCTGACTCTACTCGCAGCTTTTCTCTTACTTTCTTTATCTTCCCCTTGCAACTCCTTAACCACGCGTTTCAACTCCTCTAAAGCTTCCACTTTCCTCTTAGTCCCAGCATCAGTTTCAGTTTCGACCAAGTTCAAGAGATCCGCCAGCTTCTCCGACCTGTCATTGCTGACGGGTTTCTTCACTGCTTTGTCTGGATTTCTCGGCTCATTGAACTCTTTCAAGGCCGATTTCATCGTGCTGGCCGGTAGAGAAGGCTGCTGAGAGACGGTGTCGCTGAGGATTTCTTGCATGAGCTCGTGGCGGTGGCGAGAGCTTGCACCACAGCTTACTGCGTCGAAGATTTTCCTTCGGAATGCGGCGCCTGAGAAGGCTGTCCATAATCTGAAGTTGTTGCCGGTAGTGCTGGTGGTGGAAGGGCGATCGATGGCTATGGGTCCGATGTCGTTTCTGTGACACTTGGCCATTGTTTTGTTGCAAAGAGCAAAAATCAAACTTTACATTTACAAAAGAAAAAGGAAGCAACTTTGCCTTTGAGAGAAGTACAATTGAAGTTAAGAGAGGAAGAAGAAGAAGAGCTAATTCTTCATATTCATTCCCCTCAAATATATTTAGTTTACTAGTATTTATTAATACTTTATTCAGTTTCTTTTCTCAGAGCTCAGATATAGAGGAAAGAGTGAAGAGACAAGCGAGGTATTATTTATTTATTTGGGTTTGTTTATTTACTATAAGTTTATAACTACGTCTGCGTATGTCAGTATTACAGGAAAAATATATAATAAAAACACCGTAGAAACAAAGGGGCTGTTTGGATAGCGTTAATGGTGTGGGTGACTGGTTAGTGCCTATTTTACGTTAGTCAGTTTTAATTGAATAATCTTAAGTACTAAAAAGTTAAATTTATATCAGTTTTAATTTCAGTACTTATAAATGAAATTGAATAATATTAAGTAATAAAAAGTTAAATTTAACTCATAAAATCATATTTTTTAAATTAAAATATTATTATTTTCGAAATGAATTTAAAAAATACTTGAAAATAATATAAGATAATAAATGGACACATTATTTTTGTTGAAAAGAAGTAGCATAACATCCAGACCAAACACATCCGCTCAATTTTTTTTCATTAACCTGTGAAAAGGAGAAAAATACACACAGCTCAATTAGTTTATTTTTAAAATAAAATTAGAAAAACTAGTTTTTTGAAAATAAGGGGTTGAAGCCTTAAAAGAGAAGCCACATTGTGCTTATATTTTATGTTTTTAAGTATTGAATAAAATATTATAATTATCTTTTTAAACGTATATATTATCGATAGGCCTAATAGGTTTAAGTAAAAATAAATGATTAAATTATGCATAAAATTAATTTTTAGTATTTAAAGATATTTTTTCTAAAAATATTTGTCAAATAATTTTTTATTATACTTTAAACGTCTACCTTTAAAAAAATTCGTTAAATGATATATGTCATATGTATTTTTTTTTTATTCTCCACCCGTATTGTCCACTCCCCACGCCGTCGTTTCTCTCCTTTCCGCCACTCTGCTTTTTCTCCCTCCCATCCTCCTCGCTTTCAGACATACGAACCTCGATGTCAAATAGACAAACCCCAACGACAACTTGAGGTCTTGACCATTTTAGGGTTTAGAATTTTAGAATTTTTTTTTGTAAATTTAGAAAAAAATAATGTTTTAAAATATTCTTTTAAAATTTAAAAAATATAAGTGTGATATTATCACTTAATAATTTTTTAATGGTCATTACAACATATATACCTAGAAGTATAATGTTGAAAACATCAAACATTAATTTTTAGTCTCTAAATTTCTTTAAAGGTTTATAGTTGATGCACTAATTTTTGTATTAAATCATTGTTACATTAACATTTCCTTGTTCAGTTTGAATTCTATTTTTTCTTCAATTATTAAAAACTTATGAAATTAAAAAATATTTACATGAGACAGGAAAGATTGTGTTTTTAGTTTTAGGGTATATTAATTTATTAATTATATTTAAAAGTTTTTATTTATAGTTACATATACACAGTATGCTTAGATAATTATTATAACTAATAAATACTACTGAACTGAATGTAGTTAAAATACTCAATTGCATATTCTTAAAAATTGATGGGAGTTGGATAAAATTACATAATTTTAATGTTTTATAATTGTACATTCTTACCGTTACTTCCGGATGTTCAGACGTTTACTTTTTTTCAACTCTTTTGATGTATTTATTGTATTTAGTAAAATATTATTATAATAAAAAGATGTGGGGGGAACGTGCAAAGGAGCGATGATAGAATGTATAAGGATGCAATGGCATAGGTGCTGTTCTCTCATCAGATGCCATCCACTCCATTTAATCAAAAAGAAGCTCACAGTGGATCAATTTAAAGCGTATGGAATACAATACGAAAGACGTTGGTCTTTGGAAAAGCGTATGGATCACCCAAAGACCACGTGGCAACGGCATTCCCCTCCACCCTCACCAAACACTGATACGCTTCTTGTCTTCTCGCTTTCATTGTTTGAGATAACAGTTTAAGCGGAAATCGAAGAATTCTGATTTGATCCAATTTGATATAGTGAAATTCTTAAAAAAGAACTAAGGTTTGGAGTGAATCAAGTTGAGTCACGTCGGGTTGGATTCGGATAGAGGATAAAACGATTCCGACCTAATTCAACTTAAAGGTAATAGTATAATTTTATTAAATAATTTTATGAATAATTATTATAATACACTTTTTTTAATTAAATTATTATTTTATATCAGGTAGGGTCAGATTGGGTTGGATTTATTATATAAAAATTTGGATCGAGTCAAAGTGTGATAAATGATATATATTTTTTGTGTCGAGTTGGATCAGGTAGAGAGTATATATTTTTATTCAGATCGGGTTCGGGTGGAGTGTATATATTTTTCAGATCAATTTAACCAAGTATCCTACCCAACCTGACCCGTTGTCGTCCCTATTTATTACTACTTCTCAATATTAATTAATTAAAGGCTTAATATAAAGAAGTGCCAAAACTAGACATCTTTCCCATTTAGGTGTCAAACTTTTTTTTTCTAGTAAATATAGGTGTCTAATGTTACAAACGTTATCATTTTAAGCGCTTCAACTGTGACAGTCGTTAAAAAAAATCCTTTAATTGACACATGTCATACTCATATAATTTTAAAAATTTATTTTAAAAAACTTAAAATTTATAAAAGGATCTAAATTTCTTTAAAATTACAAAAAAGAACTCCAAAATCTTAAAATCCCCAACTTTAATCCATTTTCAATCGTGGCCGGTCATCTTCGACTACAGTCTCTGTTGCCACCCACCCACTTATCAGTCATCCCATGTTACGTTGTTCTGAACCTTTAAATATGCAAACCCTACATGTTTAACCCTGATATTAATGGGTAGAGATCCTAAATTCCCAACTCTAAATTTAATGGGGGTTTGGTAGACGTGAATAGAAGAATAGAAGAAAGTATTTGGGATGCAGAAATGAATGCACAAGATGGTGCCAACCCCAACATTGCTTAAGTGTACTGTGTTATGGGAGTTTTGGCACAAGTGATAAATGGGCGAATATGTTTATCCTCAAAACCCTAAAACCAAATTGTGAATTCATTTGAGCAGAGATTGAGATTTTTTTTGGGTTGTAAATTTGGGTCGTGTATAGTTCAATTCATAGTGCAAATCGTTGTGATTTTCGAGCAGAGGGAGGGGATGAAGAGGAGAGGGATGACTGGTAGGGAGGAGAGGGACGGGGACTATATTTAAAAAAAATTAAAATTTTAAAAAAATATAAACATGCCGCATGTGATTTAACAAGATTTTTTAACGCCCGTTAGGACCAGTGCTCCTAAAATGATAGTGTTTCTAACGTTAGACATCTGGATTAACAAAAAATTAGGTACCTAAATGGGAAAAATTATATAGTATAGGTGCTTATTTTTACATTAAGCCTTAATTAAATTAGTATTATTTATCTCCAATAAAATTTGTCTTTCTGTTTTTTTAATTTAACTTTTTAAACTTTAACGATGATTATTTTAAATATTTAATTTTTTTATAAAATATATTTCAAAACTATTCTGGAAGTTTTAAAAAAATAAATTTCATTTTTTATAAATATTAAATTTAAAATAGAAATAAACCAAAGTGAAAGTGAGATGGATCCCATTGATGTAAGTACTTTTTTAATCTAGGGTGATTACAATATAATATTTGTTCTCTAAAAATAACAATCATTTTTTTAATTGTTGATGGAAGTAAATTCTTATATTAATGAGTAAACTTCTAAAATTTTAAGGAGGAAATGAGTTTCTAAAATTCTAGAGATAAAATAAATTATTAATAAAAATAAAAAATCTAAAATATATGGTAATTTAAAATTTTTATGAGGACGACTACCCACTTGCTCTCCTTCAATTCATCCCTAATCGCTTGCCTATGACTATTTTTTTATAAAGTACTCTCAATGTCATTTAATCATTAGTTTAATAATAAGTTTTAAAATTTATAGAATAGACCATTCAATTAAAACACTATCATGAATAGTTTATTTCATCGTTAAAATTAGAATAAACATCTAATATGACATTGTATAATAATATTTTAGTTCTAAATTTTATACATTGTATTAATTTTATGTTAAATTAAAACAATTTAATAAATATAATATTTCATATTTTAAAAAAATATTAATTTAATTTTTTAATAACCTTGTTAAAGAAAACGAGTCCACTAGATTATAGCAGTCGTTAAACAATTATATTATTTCATAAAATAATAAGGAATTATTGTTAGACTATCATTATATCACGAAAGTAATATAATATTCTTGAGGGAAAAAAAGACAGAGTATAAAATAATGAAATTAAAAAAAATATATTTTATTTATGACTAATATTTAAAGTTCGATGATTTTTAAGAGGAAAAAAAGACCGATTATTAGTAGGCCGTCGTTTACGTCATTTTTCTTTGAATGAAAGTCCACTTGTGTCAATGAGAGTCGAATTCATCATGGCCCAATGCCTGCAAGGTCTATATTTGCAATGTAGAGTAAAAGATATTTGGGCCAGGTCCAAATTCAAGGATCAATGTTCAGTAAATTCGTTCAGTTTGTGTTCTGAATTCGTTCTCCAGATCTCTTAACCTTTTCTTTGGATACTTAATCCGTGTCACTTTTGAGGATAGTTATCCATCTCTAACATCAGATCACCTAACTCCATGGGATGCCAATCGATCATCTCTTTAAGGTCGATGCCAAAAACGAGGAGGTTAGACCCGGAAAGAAGCATATTTATTCACATATTTTAAGGCTTATAAATAATTAACTTAAAATTATGGATGATATCAAAATTCGTTGTCAATGTTTAATTGAATAGTGACTTTAACTCTCTTTTTTATCATTTAACCTATAATATTTTATTTTGTTGTCAAAAATGATAATTCTATAAATGAAAATTATTAATCAACTAACGATGGTCACTTATTGTTGAATATGTAAATCCACATGAAATAAAATGAAGTGTCATTATCGCATGCGATTAATTGATGAATGTCATATTATCACATTGGTAAAAAATTATTGAATTGTATGGAGATTTAGATCGTAATATTAAGAAGCATGACCATAAATATTTCTTACAATCAAACCTTGAATCTCTTTTAGAGTAACAACCTAGATGGTTATATGGAAGTGTTGAGAATTTACCAATTTTGTCATTCCATCAATTGCCATGTTATTTTCATGACAAATCTATTATATTTTTATTATACAAAAATATTTGTGTAATATAAATATTTTTTAAACTGACTAAAGAAAGTTATTATCGATCTCTGAATCTTCCACTAATTTTACAACTTAAATATATCATTTTGAACAAACACATATATATTCGGATCCATATATTCATTCAATTTGTAACATTTCATATAAACCCCACAACTCAACTTGTAGAATATTGAAGAATTCTGCACTTTTACAAAACCCAAGCAACCAATTACCATCGTAGTTTCATGTACTCACTCAATACAGCCAATGCTAGTAGTTGATACAACAACACAATCAGTATTGAAGTAACACCATCCTTGTGACGACCTTTGCCACATAATGGTTTCAACGCAGCTCGACCGAGGATTAGCATTAGAAGTTTGACGACCAATAAAATATCGAGCTCAATTCAAATTATAATACAATGTTACATCATCATATTGAAAAATATCAATGAATTCAAAGTCATTACCTTTCGTCCATATTTGGCATATCAATGCAGAAAACATAATTTATAAAGAGTATCAAAAATATCAAATAAAACATTTGACACCAGATTTGTACACAGTTGTAATAAAAATGAAAAGAAAAAACATAGTGATAAAGTTAAAGGATCATGTTTGGTGGAAAGAAAGTTTAATGCTTAATTTACTTGATATTATGGATGATTATTGAATTATATTAAAAATTAAAAGTAAATTAATAGAATGTTTGAGTGATAAAGATCAAATATTTTATTCGTCGTGTTAACTTCACCATTACATGTTAATGGCAGATGATTTGATCTGATATAATTTAAATAATTAAATGGTTGTCAACAATCTATAGAGCATGCGATTAAAAGTTTTCAGTTGAAATATCTTCTCCCTTCTTAGGCTGCGAGTTCAATATTCATTATGAACAAAATTTTCATTATCCCTCCCATAGGTAGGAAATTTAAAAAAAATAATTAAATAGTTGATTAAATAAAATAATTGATGATCGTTCAATTTAGAATGTATCCATAAGTGCTTATTGTAAAATTTACCCTAAAAGGAAAGGAGGAAAGTGGATTCGATGGCGGGGTGCGAACATGCAATGAATTTGAGCCGAATAATTGAAAATCCAATGTTAGTTCCATTATTAAACAATTCATTTTTAAAAAAAATGTAAGGTCCACTCAGTCCAATTACGTTGTCGGCTCGTCTAAACACAATTTGACTTGTCAATGTCTAATGTACATGTTTCTCACGACAACAGTATTTGACGGAAGTATTATATAATTTGATCATTTAATCTTTTAATTTATACATGGAAATTTTGTTAAAAAATAAAATACCAAAGGAAAAGAATCGCATTTGGACAACTTGGATGGATGTATGCCATTTGTTTTGTTTCGTTCCCCCCCCCCTAGAACAGTGCAAATGCAATGTGAATATCAACTACAAATACAATGCGCTCTCTCTCCCCGCATTAATCATGCGAAAAATAAAAATATTTACTATTTTAGCAGGCTAAAAATACCAGCCAAGAACGATGTCGTATCAAAAGGACATTCAAGTGGGAACGCCATCGTCCATCATTGGCTCAATCACTTTCCCTTGCTAACCACTTGTCTTCCCTTCCCTTTAAGATGAACCCAGAAAATATAGGGCTCTAACCTGTTACGCCTTTCCTTCATTCTCCATTTCCCCTTCACTCGTTGACCCGAATTTCTCGACTCCGTCGGAACTCGGTTCACTTTTTACAAGCTCTAGTATAGATTTGCTACTTACAAGGCCTGATTTCATAGTCTCAAGGTTAGATATCGTCTCTTCTCCACCTTTTTTTCACACGGTTCTTTGCGAATTCCCATACTTCAAAGTTTCAATATCTGATTTCCCCCTTTTCTTTGTTTTCAGATCGGCTTCCACCATCAAAGCGCGACCGTTTTTTGGAGCTCAACTCGGACGGGATTCAGTTATCATTTATCAAGGTTTGAAATTTGGATGTGCTTAGCTTTGTTTTGGTCTAATGGAAATGTCGGTTTTACCCAAAATTGATTCGGTTCATATTCGAGAAGTTTGGAATGATAATCTAGAAGAAGAGTTTGCATTGATCCGTGAAATTGTTGATACATACAATTATGTGGCCATGGATACTGAGTTCCCGGGTGTAGTTCTCCGTCCCGTTGGATCTTTCAAGAACATCAATGATTATAACTACCAAACTTTGAAAGATAATGTGGATATGTTGAAGTTGATCCAGTTGGGCCTCACTTTTTCGGATGAGAATGGGAATCTTCCCACCTGTGGAACCGATAGCCCTTGCATTTGGCAATTCAATTTCTGCGAGTTCGATATAAGCCAAGACATCTTTGCCAGTGATTCGATTGAATTGTTGCTCCAGTGCGGGATTGATTTTAAGAAGAACAATGAGAAGGGTATTGATGTGAAGCGGTTTGGTGAGCTTTTGATGTCGTCCGGGATTGTGCTGAATGATGTTGTGAATTGGGTAACTTTTCATAGTGGATATGACTTTGGGTACTTGCTTAAGCTTTTGACATGCAGGAGTTTGCCTGATAGTCAAGCCAGATTCTTTGATTTAATCAATATGTATTTTCCCATGTTGTACGATATCAAGCATATGATGAAGTTTTGCAATAGCCTACATGGAGGTTTGAACAAGCTTGCTGAGTTGTTGGAAGTGGAAAGAGTCGGTGTATGTCATCAAGCTGGCTCGGATAGTTTGCTAACATCGTGCACGTTTAGGAAGTTGAGAGATAACTTCTTCAATGGCTCCACAGAGAAATATGCAGGCGAATTGTACGGTCTAGGGGTTGAAAATGGACAGAATACTAGTAATTAGCTGAAAAATAGGAAAAAGTATGATGGATGTAGACTACTTTCTGTGTGAAACTTAATTTTTCTTTGTATACTTTGGACAAAGTGATTGTTAATCTAATTGTGAGCTTATCCCCTTCGCTTGCTTTGTAACTTAAACCTTAACTGATTTCCAGTTACGTATGAATCATGCAGTTAGTGTTTCAATAATAATTTTAACCATTCGTGTTGCATTCAGATTAAATTATATCCCCTTCATCTGTTTCCTTTTTGCATAACAATTTGTTAATGTTAATACTGAACTTCTCCTTGGAGAGGTAGTAGTGCATCTTTCACAAGTAGAGGTTGCTATTTCTCTGGAGACATAGGAATGAGAATTCATGCAGTGAGATAGAGTAATTATTGATGAGCTCGTATTTTTGCTTTTATTTCGGGTATGGTCCATACTGCATAATTCATACAATGATGATGTACCATCCCCCTTTCAGTCTATATTGCTAAATTGGGTGTTTAGCTGTTGGATGAACATTCAATTTAAATGTTGCTTGTTGTTTGCTCTTATCCTTGATTTTGCTCAAGGGTGAGTTGAAAACATATGAAGTGACAAGTGTAGAGCAAAATAACAGACCAAAGGTTTCAGAAATCCCAAAAGAATGGTCAATAGGGATCCCTTCCCAAGCGATTGACCACTTACTTCTAATGGATATGAATGGTAAGGTGTGATTTCTTGCAGTATAAAATTGGTTGAGAATAGTCATTGCCTATTCACTGTTTATCAGAAGCCGTTCTCCCATTGACAACCCTTCTAATATAGAAGACCATCACAGACAGTAAGGCAGCATTCTTCTTTCTCCTTTTAAGTTTTAACCAAATGTTAGTTTCACTAACGAATTACAAGATAATGAAGATTTGATATAGTTTCAGCCACCATGCAATGATATTTCGAGACCAAGATATTTCAAATGCTATTGTTTACGTAAGAAATAATGTTGCTCAAGCACATTTTCCCGTTTTCATTTTGGAGACCTAAGCGATGGACGAGCCTTTCCTGGGGAAGTTGAACTTGTGAACCAAAGCAAGAAAAAATGAGCTCATAAGATATTATAAGGCGTTAAAAAAAACTGCAAAAGTTGCAAGGAACGGACAAGAAAAGAACAGATTAGTTATCAGTTACATGAGGCAAAACTATCAAGAAGAGTAGTTCTTGCATTGCAGATCCTTCGATTGCTGCAAGTGGATACATTCTCATCTTAGATGCAAGTCCCGAGAGAATGAGCATTGCATCCAAAATCAATGTCTGCTGGTTCCCCTTCATCTTGGCCCTGCATCGAAACAAAGATATTACTCACCGTCATAAATTTATACATTAATGGTAAATCATATATGCAGCTTTAACGCAGATATATTGTTATCGGTGACAAATATCCAACAGCAACTAACAAGAGGTTTATTTAAACAGACAAAGCTAGTAACCCACCGAGTTCTTCAGACTCATCAAGTTTCTTTCTAAAACCTAAATTATAAAAAAATGAGAATTTACCAGGAAACTATGAATATATAATTCAAACATCGGCTAAAGAAAATAGATACAATTCTTACCCGTTTCATCATTGCACTTGCCAGATCTTCCAATGAACCAACATTATCAGAAACGTAACTCCCCAGTGGCCTAGGTTGGACTATGAGGTATTCTTCCTTTTCCGTATCTGATGGCTCCAAATTATCAAGAATGTAACTTCCCTGTGTCATAGGTTGGACCATTAGATACCCTTCCTTTTCAATAACTGATGGCTCCATAGATATGTTTTCACATTTATTATAATTGATGGGTAAGGGGTCAACAAAGTTCGATGGTTCAACAGATTCAAGACCAATGTTTCTGTTGAAAATTGGGTTATTTTGATCCAAACATTGGCCCATGTTTCTGATTATTTGCCCTGAATTACAGGGGATTGCGGATGTGTGGCCTTGTATATCTGCTTTTGAATCCTGTAATTGATTAGAAGCAGGAGCTATGGAAGTGAAGTCAGATAAAATACTCCCATTTTGGAATCCCATTGCAGAAACACTGCCTCTCAAATTACTAGCATGCGAAGATGCCAGCTGAGAGTTTCCTTCCAAATTTAAAGGGCTGCTTGTAACGCCAAATTGTGTATTATCATAGCATCTTGAATCCACTAGACTGCCAGAAACAGGAAAAACGGTAGTATCATCAAAAGATTGCAGCTGTCCAACTCGGCTAATGACCCTGTTATTTTGTAGTTCATCCAGTTCTAATGTCATTGGCCTCCCTTGGAGAATGTTAGCGTTATGGTTTCCAGGAATTAGATAAGATTGCAACTTGCTCTGATTGTTACTGGTATTGCCCAAGTTATGTACAGGACTTACCTGAACCACTTGAGGAGAAGAATGTCCAGGAATACCTAGTCCAGCAGTGTTGAATCTTCCAAACACCCCACTTGGAGGGAAAGATCTGAAGGCTGCATTGTGAACCTGATCAGGTCCAGCCAACGTATGGAAATTCCCAACTCCATTCAGAGACCCCATCCGGAAAAAGGTAGAATCTACACCGCCCAAGGCTGCCACCATATTGGCTTGCTGGTTTGTCACACAGCTGATTCTTTTCAGGTAAAGCCTGAATTTCTGCAACCACAAAAAAAATATAGTTAGCTTCCTGCTAAGTTTTTGAACATTGCAACTACGGCAATTAAGTTAAGAAATAGTGCCTGGAGATGGCTGGCAACATTTTCTCTGGTAAGATTTTCAGCATTCATCAATTCTAGTATCTTTTTAGGTACAGCCTCTGCATTAAAAAGCTTCATACATTAGTAGATTCCTAAGTATTTAAACAATAAGGGTTACAACACATTAAAACCGAGGCATAGACATGGGAGTCAACAAAACAACAGTAATAATAGTTATGCCAAATATGTAGCCAAAACTGAGAAAAGCTTTGAACATACTGTCAATGCCCAATTGATTAACTGCTGCAACAAATTTGCGATGCAACTCCACTGACCAAACAACACGAGGTTTCTTTTGGAACGATGATTCCTCGTTATCATGCCCACTTTCATCACACTCCTCATCCCCATCTTCGTTCTGGTCCTTCCTCTTTTTGTTTAGCTTCCCAGTCTGATCAACATTTCCTGTCCCTGCAGCATCACCGCCGTCAATATGAGGCTTGTCTATGCTGCCAGAATTAGACCGGACTTTTCTATCAAGTTTCTTCCTCCTGATCACATGTTGCCATATATTTTGCAGCTCCTCGATTCGAACAGGTTTTAATAAATAATCACAAGCCCCATGTGTAATTCCTTTCATGACAAGCTTGGTATCACCATTTGCTGACAACACTGAAAGCATTTTATAATATCATTAGTTAAAATAGAGATTCAAGTGTTCCAACAACTGTAACATAAACTGGAACAAAACAAGTTCATGAATTATCAGAACTGTAATGGACTTTGAATTAGCGAAATTAATGGAAAGTGATCCAAAATCCAAAATTCCTGAATTTGTTTTCCAAATTTTGTAGGGGATAACCAAAACAATGGAATGTATTAAGAAAATCCTCCAAAACATGGAATTTCTAATGACAAAAATGCGTAAAGAATGTAAAAGAAGACGAAAAAGCAAAAAGCTAATAGTATTATTACTAGCTTACTTATGACGGGCAGGTCCATCTCAAGCCCCACAAGCTCGAGTAACTTAAAACCATCCATGTCGGGCATATGGACATCACTGATAACCAAATCAAACCCGTTCTTGTTTTCTCTCAACAATTTCAATGCTGTGATAGCGTGACTTGTTGTGGTAACTGCAAATAAAAAATTTCACAATAAATGAACCATCTTTCTTTAACATTTTCAGTGATTTAAACTGAATCAATATTTGAATAATAGCACAATAGAAAGATTGAACCAGGATTCGTAGAAAAAAGAAAACAGAATCGAAGAACATGAAGTCACCAAATGAAGAACAAAACCGCATTTAAACAGTGAAAACCATTTGCAAAATCGAAGACAACCAGAAAGTTTATTTTTCTAGATTTTCACTAAAGCAAAAGCGATGAATTAAGTCCCAAAGTTCACTGGGACTTCACCTTAATGGAACGAACCAACGACAACATATAAAACAACTGCGAATACTCGACAGGAAAAATCACACAACCTTGATCCCATTTCTATAAACGCAAATAAAAAAAACGAACCCTTGTACTGGCATCTACGAAGCAGGGTCTGTAGTAGTAAAAGGCAAGTTGGGTCATCGTCAACTGCCAAAACTCGCATGCCAACAGGAAACTGATCCTTGGTGTCACTGATAACTCGCTCTACTATCATCTTCTACGGTTCGTTGTTCTTTTGGGAAACATTAACACATAGAAATCCCAGAAACTAAGAAGTACAGAAAGAACTGAGACAGATAAACGGGGGAACAAGTTTAGATTGTCATTAACGGCTTAATTTAGAAGGAAAGGAAGTATTTAAGGAACATGATTAGTAAGTCCATAATGTGGGAAAAGATCGTCATTAACTCTGTTTTAATATATTATGGAATCTAAGCTAAGTAAGGTGATTGACATATGAAAGTTCATTTGTTATGGAAATTGATTTAATTACTTTGAATGACCAATCAAGTAGGAGATTTAGGGGAAATATTCGAAAAATTTCTGATTCTGTTTTAATTTCATATTCTTTTGCAACTTTTAATTAAATGAAAAATCCATATTTATTAATTAATTATAATACTATGGCCATTTAAACTTTCGCTTAATACATGGAGAGTAACTTCCCTATTATGGAAAATAACCCATGATTCTGCAATGTAAGATTTGACCCCCCAAAAAAAACCCTAAAACGCCGATATGTTTATTTTATTTTATATTAGAGTGAGTGAGTGAGAGGTTTTAATTATATATAATATATTAAATGTTATGATTTAATTTAAAATTTTAACGGTGAAGCTCGCCTGATAGAGAATACAAGTTCTTTACAGTGCGATGCAAGTAATATAAATTATTGATATTGTTTAATATTTTAGATTTATGTATTATAAATATTATAGATATAAGTATTTAATCTTAATTGATCGAAAATTATTATTGAATATATATTATTTTATATTAATAAAAAAATTTGTATAATTTTCGTATATCTTTTAAAAATTATTATATGATAATTTAATTTATTCTTCGTATGGTAATTCTCCAGGAGGCAAGTATATTTGAAAATACAGATGGTTTTTTCTTTAATTTTTATAATAAAAGAGAAACAAGAAGTTGCAATATTCAAGAGAGTTTCAGTCGGACAGGAGAGCATGCTTTTGTTTAAAAAAGTCATTATAAGGCTGCTATTTTTTCAACCTTTTTCCGATTAATCCCTATTTTATCATTCTCTTATTCTTCTCACTTTTGTTTGCCTTCAAAATTGTCTACTTTTGAGGACTTAAACTCGTTTCATTTTAGGCATAAACCCATGGTTTCCTGGAAAGTGGTCGTGATAAGTGAAATTTTAAACTTGAAGGATGAAGACAAATTGAATAAATGTACAAGGGCTATCTTTCTTATTTTTGTCATTAAAAGGACAAAAATATAAAATGAGATATAATTCAATACTTTTTTCTATTTGTTTGATTAATCAATGAGTTCAAAATCGATAAGATAATGAATGATCAAACAATTAAATTAAGATCTAGAATTAATAGTAATACATACCACGAAAGCTTTGTAACAAACAATGAACACGCCCCTTGATGAAACAGAAGAACATGCCCATTTTTTTAGTTTCTATTTTGGTTAATTGCACTTACCTCGTCTTCCAACCATCTCTTTATTTCTCCAATAATCAAGGATAGACCGAAAAAGATAGATGGAAGTAGTCGTCCCCTTAAAAATTTAAAATTATTATATACTTTAGATTTTTCTTTAAATATATTTACTGTTGAAAAATATGTTTTCACTCTTTGAAACTTTATAAATTTATCATCTCTTAAAATTTAAAAGTTCATCTGTCAAATATTATATCCGTCTCAATATAATAACTCTTAAACATTTTACCCATTTTTGTCTCTTGAAATTTATTGTGTGATTAAAAAAATTACTAGATGCAATTTTTTTAAAAATCATCAACTTAACATTATAGGTAGTGGGTTGAAGGAATATTTAGTGATTATTGACGATGGCAATTCATTTTCTTTTAGGTGAAGAATAGTAAGAAATTAATGATAGTTGAGAAATATTTGAGAAGATGATCGTGTGAGTCGAAGAGAAAAAAAGCAAGGCTTCTTGCCAGTACTCTCCACTAAGAAACAAAGGTACATAGAAGGTTGTAAATCAACATTTAATGAATCTTTATTATTTTAAACTTAGGTAATTTCTCTCTCTAAATGTTTGATCATAGTCATTTTCTATCTCTACCATCGTGATTTTTTACGTTATGTCACGTGGCCACGATAAATAAAGATACCTAAATTTATAATAGACGATTTTAAATCATAATTTAATGTTTTATATATTTTATTAGATAATATGAAAGTTGTCAATCAGTATCTCATTAATTATTGGTTTTTGTGTCCAGAAAATATAAGTAACAAAACATTTTAAATTAAAGAGACAGTTATAAAAATAAATATATTGATATGATAAAATCCATCCACATTATAGAAGGGTCGTAAACAAACCAAAAGATAAATACGACGACATTGTTTATAACTATAAAGCACCCTTATTTCTCAATCTCATATCAAATAATATATATTTAAACGGCTTCCCATTTTGCTCTACTTTCACTGGGGAAAAGTATATAAAATAGTACATATTAGAGACCAGAGGGTAGTATATTTAACTTACATGTGTTTTTTTAACTTACATTATAACTGTTCGAACCAAAGAAAAACCACCTTGAACTATTGGTTTAATTTTGATTTCTTTGGACCAAAAGGCTTTTTGGGTTGGTATGACAACCATAACCAACAGCCGCAAAGACATTCCTAGTGAAGTAAACCGAACCTTCGACTTAATGGGCCGAAAATCATCGTACCCATTCCAGGAGTCCAGAAGGATGAAACCCTTAAGCCACCAATGAGTTGGGGTAACTTTTGTTGGTCTAATGGGGTAATGCTAAAAGGTTGGAAAAGTTTGACAAATGTTGCAAATCGTGAAGAAAGGAGTTGTAGATTTCAGGGTAGGCATGATTTGAGATTGGAGAGCAAAAGAGAATCTTGATTTTGACCTTTGAATCTAAAGGGGGCATGATGGGAGTATGGAAATGCCGACATTCTATGTTGTATTGCTGTTGGAGTTTGGAGGGTTGTGTTTGTAGTGTGTTCGAAGTGGTTGAACTAAATTCATTGGAGGAAGTGGTCAAGCAGAAGCAGCCAAATCCCAAAAAAAAAGTGAAGGAGCCGAACAATGTTTTGTGCCTGAAAAGAAGACACAGAGAAAGGCACCACAGCAACGTGGGTGTTTGAGATTTCAATCAATCACAACACTTCAAAGGATAAGATAAAGCCACAACCTAACTTTATTATTCATGTTTTTTTTTTCCTTTTTAAATGGATCCAATCGTCCTCTTGAAAAAGACCAAGAACCAACTCAATTCAACGTTTTGTTTTTGTACTCTTTTACCCGGGGGGAAAAAAGGAGCAAATTCAAACCCAAAGATACTGAACATGTTCCTTTTAGTTTCAAATACATAGTTTCTCCATCATAACATATAATAGAAATAATAAATTGTAAAGCTTGAATAGTGATGATGTTATTCGTAAACACCTTGCCTAGAAGGACGATCTCAATCAATGAAGGAAATAAGGAAGATTTCGGACTACGATTAAAGAATTATTTTGTTAAATTTTATGATACATGTTTCTTGCATATTTAATATATGTGTATGATTCTGATTTGCGGTTTTCGGTGATTTTTCAATAGTTTGATATCAGATTGTGGTATGTTTGTCGATTCACTATGATCTATTTGTATCTATCTTTTGTTCGGATTTTTTAGATGATTTTTAACTTTTTTTCTGATATGATCTCAAGTTATTATTTCACATGTCAATGATTATAGAAATATGTCATAATTAGGTATGTAATTTACATTTATGATTGTAAACATTCATTAAATTTTAGATATTTCTTATTTTTTTAAGAAAAATTAACGATTTCTATTTGCATAAAAAAAACAATATAGCATAATCTGACTATATCATATAAGCTTTTTTTCACTATCTATATCACTTCAAAACATAACTTTAAACCTATTATCTTCTCAAAATTATCAGACAATCATTTGATCTTCTATAAAAACTTCATAAAAGATACTATTAACACTTGATTTGTCGACAACTATCATCATAAATAAATGTATTTGTAAATGAAATTGAGTTAAATTTTATGATTAAACATAATTCCATATTCTTATTTTGATATCCCTTCCGCACATATATGTGTATGAGAAAAGAGTACAGAGAGTGTGAGAAAGGGGCCATGAATGGCACTGTGAACATGAAAAAGAGATGAGCAGCAAGTAAGAAAGTATAACCTTGTATATTGATTGTGAAAAGAATTATGTATGGAATACAAACTTCTGTTGTTTATATACAACTTATAATGTCTAATATAAGCCTAACAAACTTCACAACTGTTACTAACAACCCTAACTGCCACTAACAGCTTCAAGAAGCTCCTAACTACTTTACTAACAACACCATGCAAGCTAAGCATTCATACGCAGTGCATACACAGTACGAGCACCATTATTGCTGACTCAATATGCTAACATTCCCTCTACTTCTTCTTCTTATGCTCTTTTGAACTTGAACATCCATGAAATCCAATATTCTCTTTAAAATGCACTTCTTGATGAAAAGACGAACACTTGAAATGAAAGTGCGCTACATCCTTCCGTTCGACTCGAATCGGAAGTGCCAATGCTTCCTTCCGTTCGACTTGAATCGGAAGTGCCGATGCTTCATTCCGTTCGACTTGAATCGGAAGTGCCGATGCTTACTTCCGTTCGACTTGAATCGGAAGTGCTGATGCCTCCTTCCGTTCCTCTTGAATCGGAAGTGCCGATGCCTCCTTTCGTTCGACTTGAATCAGAAGTGCCGATGCCTCATTCCATTCGACTTGAATCAGAAGTGCCGATGCCTCCTTCCGTTCGACTTGAATCGGAAGTGCCGATGCTTCCTTCTGTTCGACTTGAATCGGACGTGTAGATGAAATCACAAACGTCTCAGCTATAGAATTCAATACAAGTTCATGTTGATGACACCCCAATTTTGAAACTAAGGCATGAACCCACTACAATATCCTTAGTCGTCCAATGAAGAAACATGCATGTAAACTGCTCATAATTGTCACCTCGTTGGGTGCAACCCCATCTTCTTGCATCTTAAAGAAAGCAGAAGCGCTTCATGCATGGATCCACGTAGCACAGAACCTGAAATAATAGAAGTCCAAGAAACAACATCTCGGGAGCTTAATCTTTCAAGAAGCCGAGAAATGGTATTCCATATGGCTAATGACGATGTGAGACCCGTCAAATGGGGTAAGACGTCCATGCTCACAGTGGTTAAAATCCAAGAAGCTAACAGTTTGTCCTGTTGCCGAAAGAGCACAAACGCTGAATTTTCAAGACGTTGGCCATCAATAACAAATTCTCCTGGAACATCAACAGTGTTGGAGATATACCGAAGTAGACCATAAGCATCATCAATCACCAGAGTAACCTGGTGTTTCCATTAAAGATACGTATGCTCAGTGAGCTTAACAATGTCTTGTTTAGGAATCTGTTGAACACCAATGGAATCCACACCAACCATTGCAACCAAGCCAAGAAAAGAAACCAAGAAAAAACACCAAAACGCTCCCAAGAAAAACCCCAAAAAATAAAGAAACCAGAACGAATGAGAGATAGGAAACAAGAAATCATACAAACCAAGAAAACAACCATCAAGAGCCAAGAAAACAACGAAGGAAACTTCGAAGCGATTGAAGAACCCGATCAAAGAACAAAATGGAAACAACGGAAGAAAGATGACGTAAGGATCTTTGGCGAATGATACCATGTGAGAAAGGGGCCATGAATGGCACTGTGAACATGAAAAAGAGATGAGCAGCAAGTAAGAAAGTATAACACTTGTATATTGATTGTGAAAAGAAGTATGTATGGAATACAAACTTCTGTTGTTTATATACAACTTATAATGTATAATATAAGCCTAACAAACTTCACAACTGATACTAACAACCCTAACTGCCACTAACAGCTTCAAGAAGCCCCTAACTACTTTACTAACAACACCATGCAAGCTAAGCATTCATATGCAGTGCATACACAGTACGAGCACCATTGTTGCTGACTCAATTTGCTAACAGAGAGGAAGAGATCAAATTAAGTTTAATTTTATGATGAATTTAGGTGAATTTATGAAGCAGAAAAAAAGTCATATTGTCCTACTTAAAATTAGGATATTATATATTCGATGTGGAAGTGATGTTTTTTAAATTGTAGATTTAGAAAGCCAAACTAGGGATGGCAATGGGTCGGGTCGGGTCGGGTTTTTGGGCCACCCGACCCGACCCGAGAAGAAAGGGTTCTCCACCCGTGACCCGACCCGACAAAATTAATGTTTCACCCGACCCGACCCGACCCGAATATATGACTTAGAAACCCGACCCAACCCGACCCGAAATAATAATAAAAAAATTTAATTCAATGAAAACAGTGACTTAATTGAAAAAAAATTATATATGGAGGGATATTATTGTAATTATCCCTAAATATATAAGATAAAATTATATATATTTTTCGGGTCGGGTTGGGTCAGATTTTTTTTACCCTAAACCCGACCCGACCCGAACAGTGCATTTTAAAAAAACCCGACCCGACCCGAACCCGAATTTTTTTTAAAAAAAATCCGACCCGATCGGGTCGAGTCGAGTCGGAACCCGTCGGATTCGGGTTGAGTTGCCATCCCTAAGCCAAACAAATAAATCTCAAAAAGAGATACGGTTGAATTTATTTATTATACAATTAGTTGCCCATAAAATCATGTGGGTTGTTTGTGGGGTTAAGGTTGGATGACATTTAGTTGCTTAAAATAACACTTGCTTGTAATAATAATTATATATGTAAAAGCTTATTAAAGTTATGCTTATCTCAAGACTTAATTCATCCATTGGGGGTTTGTTCATGTTAAACCAATAATTATATAAACAAAATAAGATGGCACTATCATAATTCCTATGGCATGAGGGCTACCCACGTCAGCCTCCCCATTTCTTTGTCGGTCATTTTGTCCAAATACGACAGCTTAAGTTTTATAATCACACATTAAACAGGAATTATACAACTTAAAACATACTTTTTTTTCTTTTACGATTCATAAACTGGATAATCCAAGTTATGTCCTTAAACCGAGCCCATTATTAAAGGGGATCCCAATCACTCTTCCCCACCAATGCCTCAATTAGCGTTCAATCAAATCACCACAAGAATTTTCTATATGGGGACTTTTAGTGTTTGTGCCTTTTATTCGATAATAATAGCAACAGAGCATGGAAAGAGTGGGGCAAATTATCCAATAAATGCGTAGAAGTGCACGTTCAAAGTAACTGGCTGGGGACATGGTGCCTCTGCTTGATACACTTCGAGTACGATCGTCAGAGAGAGGCTGGTGGGACACTTTTGAACTGAACATTAATATATATATTAGCACGGATATCATATACGTCGTAATTTTAATAAATACGATACGTCCGGCAAATACCTCAAGCATTTTGATAAAGGAAGTCGAGCATGAACCTGAAAAAAAGTGTATCCCTCGGGTGTAGCAATCATGATCACTGATTACCAATAGAAAGTAGTCAAAAAGGGAATAATGTAGTGCTGAGATTAAAGAAGGAACTAAATTGTTTCTGAGGATATAAACAAGTAACATTTTGGAGTTCCAATTAAAGCTAGCTTTTCATGTGAGTGACAAAAGCAAAGCAACCTACCAATGTTTCTTCTTAAAAGGAAAAATGTTGGTTTATATAGCATTATTTGCACATAAAAAGCATTTGGTTGCCTTCAACAAAAAGGCATAGTTTTTATACTACCAACAAAATATATTTCATCGTCTACCCAACATAGCTGAGTGTGTGCCAAAGACTCCTATGGAATCTCTTGGGAAAGGACATAGTCTTTCTGAGAGTACTGTCTCATGCATAGAAGCCTGTCCAGGTTCAAATGAAGTGATCAAAGATGGAGATCAAGAGGCGAAACCCAGTCTCCAGTTAGATCTAAAGCTAACTACAAGTGATTGTGATGATCGTGGGCTCAATAAAGAACTCAATCTAATCGATTCCTTGAACGCAGCAGAAACATCCCAGCCTACGGATGGTGAGCAACGAGTTTTCTCGTGCGCCTATTGCCAAAGGAAATTTTACAGTTCACAAGCTCTTGGAGGGCACCAAAACGCCCATAAAAGGGAGAGGACTTTGGTGAAAAGAGGGCAAAGGATGGGAGCTCATGTAGCAGCCTCAGCCGCCGCTTATTTTCACCCTTATTTTCACCACAACCACTATCCTAGCTTGGCATCTCTTCCCCTACACGGCACATATAATAGATCTTTGGGAATTCAGGTGCATTCAATGATCCATAAACCTTCTCATATTTCTGCATCAGCTGGGTCTGGAAATGTGTATGGACACCATAGTAGGTCTAGGCCTCCTATAGACCAACAATCGGAAGTAAGGAAGTCGTCGATGGAGAATTCCCATGCAATTACAGCAGGATCCACGAGTCGAGCTAGTGTCAGTAGGTTCAACGTCATGAGGACGGCGATGGGTTCTCCAGATGATGAAGTGATTAGCAAATGTTGGTGGTCAGGTGGAGGTAGTCTCAAGACAAAGCAGGAAGAGATACAAACGGTTGACCTATCCCTCAAGCTCTAAATTGAGTAATGTTTTTAAGAACATATATAACTATACATATTTGTTTATGGCTGAGAGTTTTCTTTACTCTAAATTTCTTTGGTAGCAATTGTCATGTATATTTGGGTGGTAGAGAAGTTTTGCACTTTGGCTTTTACTTGGAACTGTTGATCCTTTTACTCCAAATCCTCGTTTCTTCGAGCTGTTTCTCAAATACCTGGAAACTGGCATGCTTGTAGTATGTGTTCTTCGGAGAGAATTTTGCCAATTAAAGAACTTCCAGGATTTCCCCAGACCTCTTTTAAATTGACAGAATAAAACCAGAAAAACAACTTAAAAATTATTGGAGGAATGATTCCAACAATCTATTAGTTTCACTTAATTATAAAATATATAAGATTACACGAAACCTGCTATAATTACATTGAATTTTGAATATCTGGTCAAATTTAGACTTGTCATTAGTTGTTTTTAGGAGAGCAGGTATAATTTTGGGGTTTATGGAGGAGGATGTACTGTGTCACTTTTACCAGCTAATCCCTCAATCTAAGAAAGATCTGCTTTTAAGGTGATAAAATGCCGTAAACCAATCACATTTAATATATGTTTTTCCTTCTTTCCTTATCGGATAGACTGATTTTGTGTTGCTTTGTGGTCGAAGCAAGCTAACCTGGCCGCGCAGTTTTTATTACACGGAGAAATTTGAATTTATCCACAAATGATTTTTATTGGTCGGGTAGAAACTAGGCTTTATGATAGTCGAGAGCAAATCAGACAAACCTCGAAACAGACACTGTGGCCCATTGTAGAACATGGGGTCAGCTTTCACAAAATTAAATACTGATATGTAAAAAAAATAACCAAGTCCCAAATGGTTCATCCGAATCCCATTTGATATGAAAAATAGAACAAAGACCCTAATGGTTCATCCAAATCCGACAGTGGGAGTTTGACCCTCACACTTGCAGATGAAGGGAGTAACCCTCTCAGTTTATCCTCCTGTGTACGAATCAAAAGAATACACAGAGCACATGTGTACTAAGAAAAGCAAAGAATGAGCAATTAATTATTTCTTACACCAAGGCACCTAAAGTGGAATAACACTAAACTAGGTTGTACTATCAAAGCCATGCAACACCAAATGAAATTTAAGGAAATTGCAGCACCTTATAATTAATGGTACTAAAATAGGCTATGGTTACTCATGCACAAGCCTTCAACATCAACTAACTCTTGCATATATGAAGTAAAAGCCTCTCCAGGGTGAAGGTTTGCTGTATTCAGCAAGTACGAATTACTTTCCGATATAATGCTTTGATATGCATATTACATGCGTTAGAAGCCACGCTTGCAGATATCATTCATTACTTAAGGAATGCTACAAGGAAATGAAATTACAATTACTTTTCAAGGATTGCTCAAGCACTGAAAAGATGTTGAGACCCTAAAATTTAGTTTAGAACATGTTGAAGCTCTAAAAAAGAATCTATTCAAATATATAAAATCCTCGTACACTTATTTTTACTGGCACCACTAAGGTTCTGCACAACGAGATTACGATTACGTTCACATTACTGCAGCTTAGATAGAAAAGATTTAAAACTAATAAGCCAATTCCACACAGAGTGGTAGAGGATCCTAAATAAAAATCTTATGAACCTTGCATAGGAACATATACGAAGCAGATATCGGAACTTCATAAACAAACCTCATTCCATTCCTTGCCCTGCATAATGGATTTCACATTTCCCAACCATTGTATGAGTTCAATCCTATCCTTATTCATCATATACTCGTGCAAAAAGCGACAAAGTTCATTATTTACCCCCCTTGCTTCCAGGTAATCACGAAGTGTCTTCTGAAGTTTCCCATTCATTTTTCTGAAGAAAAATAACAAAACTTAGTTTGCCGATCAACATTAAAAAGAAAAAGTGTACTAAAAGAAATAGCAAGATATACCTGAAATCAGGTCCCATGTATGGATTAATAACAATCTTATCACGATTTAGCAAATGAACTTTCTGGATTTCTAAATGATCGGGCCAGGCCGAGCACAAAAATTCCATTTCAGGATAACCTTGACCTTTGGAAATATCAACAAGCAAGCTAATGTGAAGAACCACATTCTCTCCGGTGCTATCTTCTCCGGGCTTAGGAACAAGAGCACAGCCGTCAAACATAGTTGTTTCTATTTTGATATCTTCATTGTCTCCATGTCTTGCCCTCATTGTCATCCACTTCTCTCCCGGTCGGTCATGGACCGTGAATGAATTGAAACTCCGAGCAGGCTACACAAATTGTGAAGAAACAAATCAAATTAAAATCCGGGCGCAAAAGTTTTGATAGGTACAATTAGTTACCTGATGGGGAGGAGCGTAGTCGTGCTGATACTCGATCTCGTTGCATAGGATTCTGATGATGTTGGCTGTGAAAGGCGATATGTGGGCTTTGCAGGTTGCGTAGGTTTTGAATTGGAGTAGTGAAGCTGATGATGGGATTCGTGATTGGGTGCCGTCAGTTAGGGTTTTGGAAGCAGCAGAGATGAATGTTCTTTGAGCTGTTCTAATGAAGCGAGCCATTTTTATTTGTACTGTTGGACTGTGTTGCTGATTGGAGTTCTCTTGATCTATGAATTCGGGTTTTAGGATCAGGGTTTAAACTTCAAACGAATCAGGGTTTTAGGATCATTTTTTTTCCTAACAATATCTTTTACCGATCCAGCCCGTTTTGTTTTCTTCATTCAATAATCCAACATAAGCCCACTGAAAGCGGAATTAAAGTGACCGGCCCATGTTTCTGCAATCAACCGAGGATGATGTCCTTTTAAGGTTTTATTTTATTATTATTTTCAATCACTCATTTTCAAATAATTTTCCAATTTGGAATATATTCTCCAAATTATTTTCCAACCTTTATAATAACATCCGATATTATTTTCTCTGTCTTACTAAATTTGTCTCTTTTAAAATTTAAAATTATCTAATTCAAAATGTCCTATTAAAAAAATAATAATAACATTTAAAATTTTCCTTTTATCCTTTATAGTATTTTCCAATCAAAACAAATTTATCAATTATCTTTTTAAGATAATTTTATCATTTCATTCATTTTATATAACTTGACATGTGATCAAATTAATTTATTAAAACTATATAATAAGTCAATAATAAACAAAAATAATGAGACGAGTATGATATATTTGGCCTTTTTACCGAAATATCACATCACACTTATACGTAATAATTACTTGTCAAACATCATTTCCTAAAATATTATCAATCTAACACCCTTTCTGACACGGTAGCAATAAATCACGGATCGTCATTCGCGCCTTTGCAGGATTCTGATACGTACAAAAGGCGCATATCATGATCCACACTTTCCATTATGCACGTTTAATTATTGGTACTCTATTATTATCGAAAACTCTGCTTTTAAACGCTCCCTCTCCCCTATAAATAACAACACCTCTGAATGCAAACTTAACCACACCAAAATTACTTGCTTATTCTCATTTCTATTAATTCATTCTATCAAGCTAAGTAGATTTTGTTATTGTTTTTATAAAGTACAATTATTTTTGATTATATTATATTTATTTTTATTTAATTATTTGAATAAATTTTATTGTACTAGTTATTTTATATTATTTTTTTACGGTTGTAAAATTGGAAAGCGGAATCATACCTCGAGATATTTTGATGATACGGTAACAATATGAAATTGTGTTATTTAAATTATTGTGAATTTTTTTAAAAAAATTGGATTAGTTTATATTTTAATTCATATACTATTTATTTAATTAGACGTATTTCAGATATAATACTCTCGATCTTTCAAAGTCTCAAAATGATGATTATTTCAGATATGGTTTATCATGATGGAGAAATTTGGGAAGATAAAACCGGTGTCGTCTTCGCATCAAATCATTCTATTAGAATATCCTTTAAGAGAAACATCACTCTTGAGAAGTTGATCTCTAAAATTTCAATGAAGGTTCATGTTGGAAGTACTAGAAGATTGTTCTCACTATGGGCTCACTCAACAAGCTGATCAAGTTGACATCCCAACTCAAGTAATGTGTAATGATTTTAACTCGTTAATGGTAAATCCATATCATGATGTCATCCTATCAAGTTCAATGGGGAGACATTCATCAACAATTTCTTACGATCTGTATCGAGGTGGATCCACAAACAATCTATATGGAAACATCGCTTCCAATTCAAGGGGAAGGCATTCATATGCCAATTTCTTTGACCTGAATATGGAGATGCCCTCAATGCAACAATTTGTGTAAACCTATTTGACACGATGTCTTCAAGTTCCAGGGGGAGGCATTCAACTACGAACTTCTTTGACCTCAATGTCGAGATGCCTTCAAGTTCAAGGAGAATACATTCAACTACCAGCTTGTTCGACGTAAATGTTGGCATTGTGGGAAACCCTCATCTCTACCAGAAGAACCTCTTCGTGAGCCATGTGCGGATGGTGCTAAGACTGGACTATTCGTTTAGTCAGAATCATCGCAGTTTAACATGGACTCCGATGATGATGATGTAGATGAAGTTCCCACAAATACGATACACACCGAACCTCCAACACACATGTATGAAGTTGACTATGGTGCAATGTACGAACCAGAATTTGCATATATGCCTAATGTTGGTGACTACATATTTAACTCATCAGTCAATGATAGTGAGTTATATAAAGGAACATAGTTTCCATCCAAAGAAGATGCGATGATGCCAATTAAGAATTACAATATTCGTAATTCTGTTCAGTTTATAATCGACCGACCGTTCCACCACCAGAAAGTATGTCCGCCACTGCGTTCAACGTGATAACAGATGCAACTGGATGGTTTTTGTATTGAAAATGAAACGAAAAAAATATATGTGAACTAACAGTAGACAACAGTCCTTACACATGTTGTGCTAAAGGGACCAACCAGGATCATCCCAACTTTTACTCCGACATTTTCTGTCAAGTCATCATGTCCATGGTCAAAGCAAGCTCCCATATAGCTATTGCGGTGCTAATTTCAACTATACAATCGCAAAATGGGTATCTCTAACTTAACGTTATGAATGAATGAATCTAATATACAACATTTCTCTTAATTTAATAAATAGTTTACAAATTAAAATATAAACTAATACTACAAATTAATTAAATAAAACATTCACAATAATTAAAATAACAACACAATTTAAAATTGTTATCGTATCGGTAAAATACCTCGAGATATGATTCTCATCTAAACGTAGCAACCTGCCTTTCATTTTATAATTGCAAAAATTAATAAAAAAACCAATACAATAAATTTTAATAAAATAATAAAATTATTATGTAATTCTAATATAATAGAAAAATATTTGACATTCGTAATATAAAGATTGATAATAGGAACAATGAGAGAATATGAGATTTGAGTGCGGTATGAATGTTGTGTTGGGTGTGGTATTTATAGAGAAAGGGAGAGACAAGTGATAATTAATGTGGGAGACAAACAATTGAAGAAATAAAGGAAAGACGCGGATTATGATTCGCACCTTTCATACGTGTCAGAACCCGCGAAGAAGTGAATGACAATCCGTACTTTATTGCCTTCGTGTCTAAAAGAATACTAGATCAATAATATTTAGAGAAAATATGTCTCACAAATAATTATTACGAGTAATGATGATATTTCTTAAAAATGCCCATATATTTTCCTCTCCTCTCATAGGTTGGTTGCGTTTTAGAACCGATATTTTCTGACAAGTAATAAACAATTGTGGGCTTCAGTAAATCACAGAAAACAAAAAGAATCATAATTTCCGACAACTAAATGGTTCCACGTTTCAAAGTGTGTGTCATAGGAAGAGATTCATTGATAGATGAACATTGGAAACGAAAGCCATAAATAATAAAATGCTTCATTTTAAGACGACTTCAATTCTTTGTTTGACTAGTTTTTAAGATGCCATGTTGTTAAGTACCCAAGTACGTTGTATCTTTCTGTGTTGGGAGTGAATTTTCTAATATCATTGATATTTGTTTCCGACTTCCAACTAACGTAATATGGTTCGGTTGGTACATGTGGATATCGTTCAACTTGCACTCGGTTGCCCCAGGGTATCAATGATGCAGGTTGCAGCTGATTTGATGGCTATGGGTATCCAAATTGCACGTGGACAGTTGGCTATCGATTAAAATACAATTTACTTCACCTCTAATGGTCGATCTAAAAAAGTTTGTTCATATAGAAATAGCATTGAATTCACCTTATAGTTTTTTTATTCAAACATTAAAAAAATATGATTATGAAATATAAAAATTATCACAAATAATGTTAGGTTACTTGGATCAAACGCCATTCAACAATGGGTGAAACAGTTTGGTTTAGATGCAAATTCAGAAAGTTCAAATTTGTCATAGTAATATAGATTTAAGCGTGATTCTTACATTTTTAATAACCAAATGGGGTATTTGTCAAATGATTGGACCTAACTTTCAGGTGGTTCATCAATCACCAAAAGCCAAACCCAAGCTTGCAAGAAAAGAGAGGATAGTCTTTTCCATGTATTGTTTGATTCCGTTTGCTACTTTAAGCAGCAAATGATTATATTTTTTAAATTGCAACAAAAGGATATAAGTGGATGCCAGTAAAGTCCATCTACCGCGTGACCCCTTCACAATTGTAGCATAAGTTGGCAAACTGCTTTGCTTGCAGCCTTTTCTTTTTAATCCCCCAAAACAAGCACGCAGGTCCATGGTTTTCCAACCTTAACCTGCGGGCTCACTCTGACACTCCCCGCAACCAATTTTACTGTTCGATGGTCCCAAATACATTAACTTTTACTGTAAGGAACAGTTTAATTTTTTGGGATCATAATAGAAGCTTTTAATACACTTTATGGGGTGGAGTTGGAAATTTGAAGCCACCCCGTCATGTTATTTATAGAAAGTCTTGAAAGAAAGAAGAAAGGCTACGGTGAAACTGTAGGCAATTTGGAACTCTACTTATGCCTAATTCCGAGTCTCGACCAGGAAAGTTGAGCAGTGTCATCTCATCAAACATAGTCTTTGGTTCAATTAAAAAGAACAGTTTTTTAAATGAAAATTTATGGAAACTAATGTTCGAGACAGATTGGGTTTCCAGTTTACACAAACAAAGGCAGCACAGAGAAAATGGAAACAGTCATTTTGTCAGACAGACAAGCCCTACACAATTTGGCCACTTCCAACCACCTTCGTGTGCCGTTCGATGTAGTACGCTATTGTTCTGTTCCTCAATCAAAGTTTTAATATTACGGATCGACGAAGTAACTTTCAGTTTCAGAGATCCAAGACACGGTCAAATCACATAATTGAGGGTTGCTTGCTTGCTTGGCAGGCTGGCAGGTTACATAGGGTCCAAACCTTGGTGATAAGTTTTTACACGCATCCCCAAGGAAGCTCATTTAAAACGAACGAGATCCACATCTCACTTGCAACGTCTCTAATGTTGGAAACATGGAAATCTCCATCTAAAAGCACTATTCCAACCAGCAAAAAGACTTGGCATGCAGCAATGAAAACGAAGAACAAAATGGTGTGCATGAAATAACAAAATAAAGAAACAATTGCTTCTCACTAAATCTGTATCAAATTTACTACCGCAAATTTACAAAGAAACAAT